TCGTTACTGTGCTCTATTTTGATAAATCACATATTCTGAAATTTAAATTCTTATTGGATGTGTTGTGCACTGAATTATGTCTATGTCCATAATAACTGGTTACAACGAAAAGTGCTTCCTTATCATATAGCTGTTCACGATGGAAAAATAGTCGCATGATTATGATGTAAATACGAGACTGGAGGGGATATGAACATGACTGTAAAGAATATGTTCTGAGACATTTTAAGGATTTAAAATTATGAGTTACATTAAAAATGTTCATAAACATCACTATACATATTTGATTTTCAACGATACAAAAATGTATATAATTAGTTACACGTATCTGTTTTAGGAGGACAATTGTTATGTTAAAGTGAACACAGTTTATAAACTACCTTTTCTATTAATAATGTTTTAAGTAAATGATTGCAATTCTGTTATATGACTTGTAGACTATAACTCTTGTCTAATCAAAAAATTACCTTTTACTAGTAAAGATTCAGATATTTCGGGAAGGCCAGGATTGGCGTCTGTATAGAAACAAAGGCTACCGAAATACCCGCTATTATGCAAATAGTATTGACTGGAGTAAGTGACGCCGCCATTGCCTTAATGCGATCTGATAACAGAGTGACGTCACGCTTTTAGCAACATAACCTTAAAGTACCGAGCGTCTTTACGCTGATTAATTTGCTTCTAATCGACGCCTATCACGTTTATAACATCAAACAGTGAATTGTAAGAAAGTTTTAATGTTTTGATGCTGAAGCGAGTTGACAATGTTGACTTTAAATCAAATCTTTCACTACTTATTGATATCAGTCAACATTCCATCCCCATGTTCGGTGTTGATTGTCCCCAGTTTTAAAATCAAAATGGACGTTGATGATATATAGCCATAGACATAGTGCAAGTGTTAAACATATTTAAGGGGACCAGTGAGCAAATTACTCATCTTAATAGGGTTTGAAACTCGTCTCCAAGAAATAAAAATAATGCAGTCTCCAAGGCATAAAAATAATGCAGTCTCCAACTCCAAGGCATAAAAATAATGCAGTCTCCAAGGCATAAAAATAATACAATACAAACTAAAAATACAATAGTGCAACGCAACCTTCTACCTTTATTTAAAAGCTAAAAAGTTAATAGGCCTATTTAAGAAAAACCCATAAAATTAAATTGTACCAGTGTTTGCATATTTTAGACAATGATTACATTTTTACACTAACACTACTATTTTATAATATATAAAATATGATAATTGTAGATACCACCATAAAGAAATTTACCTTTCTCAATCGAGGTACAATAATTTGATACTGATAGAAGATAGACTTTTTAAAATTTATTTTTATAAACTGTTTTGTCTCTTGTTTACAAAGTGACTTAAAAATTCAATTGAAGTAACCAGCTGTTAAATACAATTCAGATTGAAAATCATTTCAAAACAAGTCAGCAATACCACAGATTAAAGATTAGACATCCTGAGCCTTTGAAAACACATTCTAGAAATAAATCAAAGGCTAGAGGAGGGCAATGACCTAAGAAAATTTTCTTTTTAATCACCATGCATCCTTCCGCTAGACTAATAAGCTAATGACACCTCAATCGTAAAAATCGGTTTAGTAGTTTTGGCACATCGCACAATATGTGTGTTGTTTACAAATTAACAATAAGCAAACCAAAAATTATATGTGACGTATTGTCAATCTCAATACAACTTTGAATATTTACGTCTTAGTGGATTTAAAAATAGTCTTATAAATACGAAATAAAGATTGCATGCGGAGATGGCGTTAAACAATCTCAACATAACAACTGACACCACCAGTTATCACGAAACATCACAGGAAGAGGGAAATAAACCAGTCAACAAACTTTTTCAAGCTCAACTATTTTTAGCTCTTCCAGTTTTGTCAATACTTTAATTGGAGTTACCTAAAGTAAAAGTATCCATCATTGCAAACAATGTAATTTACTTTAAGTTAGTGGTACTATAATATATTATGAATATATATACCTATTATATATTTTTTGCTGAATTTTTAAAGTGATTAATTACTTACCAATAATTTGAATAGGTACTCAATAAACATTCTTCATAAATAAGCAGCAAAGTAATTGACACTAATAAATCCAGTGGCAAAATAATAATATATAAGATTTTTATAAGACGCAGAAAAACCACTTACGGACGGAGAGTGAGAAACCATTGTTACGTGTTCTTTTCCCACTATAACACTGGAAACCCCCAAGTTATTTATTTTTTTTTTACAAGTACACATAAATAGACTACAGTAGATCTACAGTAGATGTCCGGGTCATAACCCAATTGCACTGGACTAATAAGCATTTCTCCACCTTGTGCAACATATTCAGGGGTCTTCTTAATTGATCTTCTTCACTAACACTAAAGTCTATATTTACAAAAATATTTCCACACTCGTGGTCACTAGTATCACCATCACGGGGTCAATCGGACAACCGACAACATGAACACAGTAACGCACCCCAGTGTAATTTTTATGTGGAAGCATTTTACTCAACTGATCTTTATGAATAAAAAACAATCGCTGCTGGTCCAATGGAATGTCTACCCCAGTATATAAGGCAGGTATCATTGCTTAGGCAAAAGGTTTGGCCGCACAGGGTCCTGCACTTCAGTGGTATTCAGTGCTGAGTGCAAAATACCAAAGAAATTGTAAAATGTCCTTAAATGCTACGTCAGTTATATCAGAAAAAGAAAAAAAGGGTGGGAGCATGAACGCCAATATTATACATTGAGATTTTTTGTTAGTTTGTATTGTCGGTATACTATCTTTTTTTGGTTGTAAAAGCACCACCCAAGGCCAGATCTGGTATCTAATGTCAGTGATTACATTAAAGTGATATTTAAGTGTAATTTAATAACAATATCATATAAACCAGGGTAACAATCAACTCTGCAGTTGCATGTGCAACTAAACTGTAGTGGTGCATCCAGGCATCTGACTGCATTGCTTCATAATACTGTACTTTGGTACAAAATGCAGTGAAGCTCGATTAAAATGTTGTAACACAGTAAAATAAATAATTAATTTACAAATGGCAATTTACAATGTACAAAATGTATTGACATACTCATTGGTCATTCACATATTTATCCTTATACTAGTGTACATGTTGCTCGAATTCGAGCAATTGTAAAGTATTACAGGATTTGTAAACCAATAACAATCATATTAAGCTATCTAGCTATCAATATTTCAACAAAATCACACCTACCTTCCCTGTAGCAGCAAACCTAAGTAATCATACTAAAATTAACTCTTAAGCTTTAAATAGGAAAAACATGACCATTTTCAGGGAATATCTTTGTAGAAATTAAGCCAGGTAAATGGGAATTCGCTTAGTCTGAAGGTTTGCTGCGGATACATAATTTTAATAACAGCAATGATTGAAGAATCCGAATTATTACTTATATCCATGAATTTATCTAACAATTATTTCCTGTAAAATATTATTACAGCAGCTCAAAAATATTGGAACAGACTCGGTCAACAAATTACCGAATGGTATAGTTACCATATGAAAGAATCCCATACTAATGACATTAGCATATAGTTCCATTTAATCAATTTTAAATGGGCGAGTGACACATTTTATTTATGTTTATGATCCATACCGGTCCTGTTCTAATAATCATGCAGTATTTAATATGTTTGGACCAGCTGTGTGGAATTGTGAAATCAAAATTAATTTGACAGTTAGTTCTGTTTGTTTACATTTTTAAATTTTGTGGGTTTGTTCTTTGTTACCATGGATACGATCAATAATTATTTCACTTTTAATTTCTGACAACAGCTGGAGTTCCATAACAAATTTTGTTTCCCATGTTAATCTTATGGAGAAATACGAAACTTTAAAGGGCCCCAGGGCCTCACTCTCTAATTATTTCCCTAAAAAGAAAGTTTCCTGCACAACTTCACGTTACGCTCTTTCCAATGACACCAAAAACATGTCGATCGGTTCAGTAGTTTCAGAGGAGTAATTGTCACAAAAATCCTGCTTGTGTATTAAATAAGTATAGATATAATGATCCAATTCCTGTAATAAAAGTCCTCGGGCTTTGCCCCACAGGCCATCAAAATCCCAATGTATTTCTTATGAAGAAAGGATTTTGTTTACTTAAACAGACAAATAATTTGTATTAATTACAGCTGTTCATAGTAAACACATGATACACACAAGAGTGTTTGTTTTCAGTTTCGATAACTGGAGTGGAGTGATTGATGACTATGTTTTATCTATGACATTATCTTTGAGTCGACTCTTTTGAGTCATTGGAAATTATGACTGGTGTTCGTCTTGAAATAGCACACATGTAATACTTTGCAATTGCTCGAATTCGAGCAAACAGGTGCACTAGTTTGATTTATTATCTGAAAAATAAGTAGCCTATGCTAGCATTCAAGTGGAAGATGTAATTAGGTTCGGAAGACATAGAATATGTGCCTAGCGTAGATATGAGGAAATACCTACTCGTTGATTTAGTTTTATGACAGAGGAGAAGGTACAGGAGGACATTCAAATACACTTAAGTGATGTCTAGCACTATTTGCTCGTGTCTAGGGCAAAGTGTAACAACGCACACTCGTCCTCATGTACTACAACACACACGGTGGAGGAAGACCCTGTGCCTTATGGGATAGGAATTTCCGCAGTGCTCACCGCTTGGGCTCTTAATTCCTGCTCATCATAATTATATATTTATAGTACAACTACTATAGCTCAAAGCTCGTGGTCATCCCAGAAGCAAGTTTCCTCTAGACTTTTTAATTCTCTTTGGCTTGGTTTAATGTTAAAAAATGCAGTAATTGACGATTGTATACAGTTTGAATTCTCCAACGTTAAGTAATGTTGTATGATTGTTGTGTCAAGCTGACCTGGAGATTTGTGTCACAAGATTTAAAGATGCAAGGTGGGAAAAATTAAGTAACTACCACTTTCTAAAACAATCTTATAATTTGTTTCAGATTTTGGGGAGTCAGTTAAGGATAAGGTGGAGTCGGTAGTGGAAGATGTAGAAGACACAATAGGCTCGGCTCTCGGAACAGTGAAAGAGAAGAAGGCGGAAGCAATGAACGGTGCTCAGGAAGCAATGAGCGAGGCGCAGGAAGAAATGACCAAAGCAGCTGAAGAAGTGGAGGCGGCAGCAGAAGAGAAAGTAGATGAAGCTAAGGATGCTGTGGATACAATGGTAGAGGACTTGGAAGAGAGTTTACCTTTGCCAGAGGAAAAAGAAAAAGAATCGGAAAATAAGGAGTAAGTAAATTTAATAAGTGTGCTTTAAATTCAGGGATACAGTGTACATATCAGCCTTGTACATTTTCATTAGATATCTAAAATGATTTTTCTAGTTTAGAATTATATTTTTTCAAATTTAAAGTTTGAGTAATGGTGCAACATTTGCTATTGAACAATAATCTTAAATTTCAGCTGAAATAGATTTAATTGGATGCTCGTACTAAATATAATAAATATTTTCGATTGTTTTAATGTACAGCTGTTTATATTTTATGTATTTTGTACATTATGTACATTCTATACAATATGTCAATATTTTAATCTGTACCACTTGCTTTAGTTTGTTTGGGCAGTAATTCAAATTTTGTAAAAAATTTCGTTCTTTCTGGTTGTTACTATGTAAAATTGTCTGTTATGAAGAACGAGATTAATATTGACATTTCTGAAGGCAAGAATCTCACAAAAATGTAAAACTCACAAGAACTTCACTGCATTTTGAATTGTACTTTTTAGAAAAATAACCACATACCCCATACCATCCCTTATTTTCAAAGCAATAAAAGAAAATTTTCTCAAATGTAAAATGCTATATCTTTTGTAAATAACTGGGATTTTACAAATACACATTGTGATAAGTGATTATTTTAGTGCATAAATGATCATTAATTGATTAATTTCAGGAGACAAAGAAAAATGATAATATATACAAGCACAAAATAAAATGTGCATTTTTTTAGAGTAGTAACTTAGTTATTAGAAGATTTCCCCAAACAGAAATGATTTATTTTAAAGTTCAGCTTTTTCAAATGTATTATTTTAAATCATGAAAAATATTATAGGCTAATTTAATAATATGTTTTTTTCTATCATTTCAATGTAAACACTTTTAGTTCCATTGGAGGAAATATTTAGTCAATATTTCTTTTTGATATAGTTTGTAGGAATTGTGAAAATTGAATAAACATTTGTTTTTCAAATAATATAAAAATATGTCATGCTTCTGACAGTATTAGACCTTAGATATTCTAATAAACAAATAAATTTTCTTTTGTCAAATATTTAAGTTTGCTGTTAAAACCTGTTTAACTGAACTAATTTAATTAAAAAAATAAACTTCTGCAAAATATTTTCTCACAAAAAATTATTCTGCATTGAACCTCAAAAGAGCATGTAACTTGTTATATGTTTGTTAGTTGCTAATGTTGCTTCAGTACAGTTATTATTACGCCTGTCTGGCTTCTTCAGTTAGAAAACTGCACAGAGAATCCTGTTTAATAAAAAAATGTACAATTGTGTTTGTTAAATCATTTAGTGTGTTTATGAGAATATTTTTTAGTTTTGTAAAGTGTTTTTACTGTATACGTTTAAGGCAAGTAGATTACGATTTTTCTGTTACCAATGTTAATTCCAGACCAATCTTTATAAAAATTCATTTGTTTTAAACATTTAATAAGAAAAGATTAAACAATTTAGAGTTCTCTTGTGCAGTAGAGCCAGTCTAAATGTAAAAATAACTGTGCTATAGTGCCTTATTCATGTCACTGTCATGCCTTCATTCTTCTCCTGAATGTTTAAAACACTTGTTTACATGATGTACAAATATTTTAGTGTAAATAATATGAGGTACACAAAATAATAAAATTGTAAAATACAATAAATATTCTGCACAGAAATTCTTAGTTTTTTTCCTTGAATGAGTAAACAATTTGGAATATTTCTAAACAAAGAACTCTTGAACGGACTTGGTTGTATGTGAAAATTACTCAAATAGATTTGTTTAATTAGTTAAGTTATGACATACATCCAAAAAAGATATTATGTTTTATTAATATTTTTATTAATACCAAAGTAATACTTAGAAACAGAAGTTGTTCAGAGTGATTTAAAGATTAAGTCAAATTTTAACATGGACAGATCACTGTAATAAACATAAGAAAGGTTAATTTTAAATTTGATTTGAATTTCAATGTTACTATTAGATTCCTAAACCACATTAACACATTATTCCACCAGAGAAAACGTATATAATTAAACTAAATACACTGTGTTTGGAAAGCCTAATTGACTCAGAAATTATTATACGAGTACCACTCGAACATAAGGTCTGAACTTATCAAATATTTCAAAATTGACTCAGAGTTGGTGAAAAGAAGATTGAAAGATGAAGAATTTGAATCAAACACACAAAGTTAAGTATCCAACACTCTTTTTGGAATGACAATATTAATAATATTTCACCTGTTTTCAGAGCTCCCAGTAAATGAAAAGATAAAACTAGAGAAGTAGATAAAAAAATATTAAATAACTTGCAACAAATTCTAATTATTTAAGATCGAAAAAAAAATATTTGTAAAATTTGTGCTATAGTTCGGCCGCTTAGAAAGCGACCTCCTCTAGCATTGGTTTAGCATTAGCACGCAGGTCGTTTTCTATGTGGCCGAACTATATAGGTTTGGCACTGTCTATTAAGATTGTGTTACACACATTTATAGAATAATCTATATATATAATTCCGTAAGTCAAATTTTTGTAAAGAAATTGTGAGTGACTGGATGGCCGTAGAAGGATGGGAGGGGTCTTATTTTAAAGGTCTTGACGTGAATTTTGAGGGAAAACTATTCATTTTTCTTATTTTTTTACCATAAATTTGCAACAGAATAAAACTTTTCCCATTAAAACAACATGGGGTTTAATTTGTTTACATCTTTTGAAATTAAAACAGCTGTGCCACAGATTTGAAAACAGTGATCAATACACACATTTGGTTTACTTTTAGCCAGTCAATTATGAAATGTATACTATAATAAAACTGAAATATTGAAGATTAGTCGGGAAAACGTCTGCATTCTTTGTTTATATTTAAATCATATACTCAAGTTTCATTTTTTCATGCTTTTACGTTATTGTCGTGTTAAAGGAATAAACGACATAGAATAAATATTCTGTATAAATAATCAAAGAGTCGAAATTAAATCTAACTTCTGTTTTGTTTTTATTTTTAAATCATATGTTCAAGTTTATTTTAAATGATGTTGTTTTCTTTATATTTCTACACATTTTAAGGTTAAGGTTGTGTAAATATATACAACTAAAATAACCTATAAATGTTATTGGTTCTAAAATGGTGCATTTGCATTCCTTCGTAAGTACATTTTTTTTAGTGCAGTGAATATACAACGTAGAGTAATCATATTCGATCATACTTTTATAAAATCACCAGGGATTCAAGATGTTTTGGTATGTAGGCTGCTGGATATATATTCTTTTCATTATAAGTACTGTAATTAATATGAACGCCAGGGGAATACCACAAAGGCGGGGAACTGTTCATAGGAATGACAGTGCGCGTAGGAGAGCAAGAGTAGATAATGACGAACTTAATCAAGATATGTTACAACCCCTTTTTAGGAGACCCATGGTAGACGAGAGAAATGTAAAGATCCATGATGCAGGATTATTGGACCAAGAGTGCATTCAATGTAGTGCTCTTCATTTTAGAGAAAAACTAACGAATAATCATTTTATGACATGTTGCCATAACGGAATTATTAACCTTCCTCAGTCAAAAACTAATGTAGAACTTAAAAGTTTGTTTGAAGAGAGCCCACAACTGTATAAATTCATTCGACAATGCAACAGTGCGATGGCTTTTGCTTATTTTTCAGCCAGTAAGAAAGATATTCCAGGAAAAGGAACACACTGTTTCAAAATTCAAGGACAGATTTATCGTTCAATCTCAGATTTGCTGCCTCAACATGATGAAGACCCCGTGTATGGCCAATTGTACATTATTGACACATCAACAGCAACATAAATTCGTCAAAGGCGTCGAGAAAATAGTGACTTAAAACCTGAAATATTGTCAAAACTAGCTGAAATTCTATTAGAAAATCCATTTGCACAAATTTACAAAAGAGCTTCGGAAGAAATCGTTGTACAAGGTGACAGTGAATTAGAACTTAGGTTTGTAGACAGGATAAATATGGATCGTCGTAGGTATAATAAGCCTACTGCAGATGAAATTGCAGGCGTCTTCAATTCATCTGAAGGTGAACCTCCAATGAATTTTTAAAATTCCAAACAGGGAAGCTTTTATTTATCCTCATTAACCACAAGACCAAAGCTACCTTAGTAAACCAGTATTTATTCACAAACAATGATATGTTTGCTGCCTTTTCATGTTAAACCACTCCACTGGAGTGATTCAAATTATTTATTGAAAATGACATCAACAAAAGCAAACAAAGAAGAATAACAAACTGGGTTTTACACAAAAGATATGGTGTAGGGATGCCTATTCTGACACACATAGATAATGTTATTCTGAGTTTGTTTAAATACCGGTATTGCAAAAGGTTGTTTTACATTTGAGCTTTTTAGGGACTTATGTCCCTACAAGCCACTAGTACAAGTAGAATTTTCTAAATTTCATCTCAACAAAAAAATTTGTAATATTCTTAAAAAGTGCACTTAACATTCTTTTAAGTAGGCAGTAGCTACTAGCTTTTCTAACATGCAAAGAAGTTTTAAGTCAATTTATTGGGAGTCCTGAAAGTTAAATTATTTTTATTAACAACCACATCGTTCACAATTTTCATTGTCTGTTTTGTATTGTTCCTCATCTCTTCACAATGCACTGCCAAAAGCTTTTAGCAGCATAGCTTAGCAGCACTCAAAGCTTAAGAAATACTTTTAACTTTGTTGACAATCCAAACTATTTTTTATATTAGGAACTTGGAAATTATATATAGTAATAAAATCTTTATTTTATCGTAACAATACTGAGGTATACTATCATTGACAAAGTCGTAAGATGCAGTTCAATTGGTAGGTTGTACAAGTTGTTTTTTTTTCAATCCATCTAAAATAGTATTAAAAAATATTAGCCATATTAACCATACAAATTGAGTAATACACTTACCCTAAAATATCAGTAATTAAACTCTCTCACATTTTAAATGCAAAACTAAACTTGTTTATAGCTTCAAGGAACGATGTTTAATTAATTAATATTTATGACACTGTTTTGCATTATTTAAAATATTTCAAATTAATTACTTTGCACAAATAATTGTTGTGAGCATTGATAATGTAAGGATTGTGAAATAGGAGATATGGAATTTATTAATCAATTTTTTAAATCCTAGCTTAACTAAAGAGCTCAATAATTGAACTGTAAATCGTTTTAATGCCTTAATTTTTGCACATGTACAATGCCTTTTAGTGACTAAGTTTTTATGCTTGGCAGCTGGAAAGATCCGCAAGCTCAATCCCCCCGTTCCATAATGGCTCCATTCCCGGACGGTGTATTTAGCACTGATGAAATGATTGCACAGATTTTAAATCAAGACTTGACAAAAGAAGATGATAACGAAGGATAACAAGCAAGTCAATATCACATTACAAGGACCGCTGATAGAATGTAAAAATAAACTGTAAATACAAATGTAAATAACAAAAGTGTGTTGTAGCCTCTTCAATTCCTGACTGTGAATTTAGTTTTCAGATGAACACATCAAAAGGTTCAAGAGCGAGCACTGCAGAACTCTCGAGGAAATCTGTTGATGGAATTGAAGAGAAACAAGATACCGATAAAGAGGTGAAAACCGATGCAGACAGTTTGAAATCCAAGGGAAGTTGTAAGGATTTAGAAAATGAAAGCAAAGAAGAAAATGACACCAAGGAACAGATTAGTCAATCACCAAAAAACTCATCAATGAAGTCTGGAAAGTCTTCACCAGCAAAATCTCCAACTGAAGACAAAGGATTAGTCCTTCAAATAGACCAAGCAGGGGAAGATCCTATTGTGGCTGACACAAGCACTCCAGTAGAAGCTGTACCAATTGACAAGAATGAGGTTCAAGAAGAATCCAAAGATGAAGAGGAAAAGGAAACAGAAGGAAAAGAGTTATCTGTTGAACTTCCACCTGAAAATAACGGAGGAAGCCCCTCTGAAGAACATGGAACATTGAGGCAAGAATCTCAAAACCATTCACCCCAACCACAAAATGATACACCAAGACCACCTTCGGAAGAAATTCACGAGAGTGTTGAACCTCCTGTGGAGAAAACGACAATCTCACCTCAGCAAAACCAACCTGAACTGGAACTGGACCGAACAAGTCCAAGTAGTCCAGACGGAAAGAACGATTCAGCAATTTCATCTTCATCATTGAGCCCTGAACAAGAAATGACTGAAACAGAAATGGAAAGACAAGGGACTCCTGTTATAGAGGTGGCATAGGAAGCTCAGGTATGTTATTGAGGATTTTTTTATCGTTGACCAAATAATTGTTAGGCATTATTCCGTTATGTCATTGTCTCGTGTAGTTTGTGTACTGTTATGTAGCCTTCTTAACTTGGGTTTCTCTTTGGAGGTTGGCACCTTTTTGATGATGTATCATTGACTTTTGGATATTGAAATAGACATTCCATCTTTATAAACCGTTTGTAGCCAATTATTGTAGTTGTATGAGCCACACACAGTGGTCCAAAATTCTATTTGATCTCTTAGTTTTAGTTACTGTGATAGTTGCCGAGACATATAAAGATGTCTACAATAAGTTGTCCTTTAGGTTTTGTTGTGTTAAAAATTCAGTGTATTTGACAACTTTGGTGGCTCATTTCTACTGTGTTTATTTTTGTTCTCAAACCGACAAGTTTTAACATAAGGATGGAATTTCTAGTTCTGTTCATTGTCACAGACTGTACGCATTTGTGATGAAGCGTGCTAAGCTATTAGCTAGTCAAGACAAATAGCCAACAGGAATGTATATTTTGGAAAAGGATAAATTGTGATTTTGTCAATCTAATAAATTATTTTATAAAGGGAGATGTAACAATCACATATGACCATTGAACTATAGGTCTTATGAGGTTGTTGGGAAGATTTTAATTACTTTGGATAGCCAATTACTACGGGATAATAAAATAAGATCTTTAAGTAAAAGAAACCTCAAACTAGGGTGACTAAAAATATTTACAAATGCTAAATGGAAAAACATTTACATTCAATCAACTGCTAGAGTCTAGGGGATGTTATTTTGAAGGATAAAACAAAGTTTTAAGAAATATATTTTGTATAGGCTTTTAAATTTTTTGTTTAAGAAAACATAAACGAATAAATTACTGAACAAATTAATATGAAAGTCAAATACGTTTTAGGGTGGTTAAAAAAAAATTAAGTTAAGTTTTTCACATACCAAAATGTTATTGTTTTTACTCTTAACTTTTGAACTGCTGAACTTTTATTGATATTGTTGTTATAATGTTAAGAGACTTGACAAATTTCTTAATTAAGTAAGTTAATTTAAGAGAATATAAGGACTGCACATGATGACTGATTTAAGTAGGGCGAAAATAATCCAGCAGATGAAAGAGCAATTATAACTTTGATTGATGAAAACCCCTGCAATTTTAATAATAATGTAGTATGTTCACAGCTTAACATAATTTAGTCTGAATTTTAGGACTATTTCTTATTGCAAGTATACTTTTTTATGGAAGCATAAGTTATTTTTAAAATGGAATATTCTGTAGATTGATAAAATAAGCAAATTTAATGGTTTTTTACCTGGTTTTTGGTCAAACAAGCCTATAATTTTATTGACTAGAGCTGCTTCTCACTCATGTCAGGCCCAAAAACATACAGCAAATACTGTCAGCGAATGTCTCATAGTAGGAATAAGCTTTTAACCAGGAAACACACAAGCTATACCATAAGTCTCATGGTAAGACGTAGACCTGGAACCACATTACTTTATTGTTTTAATGTTCCCTGATTCCAAAATACTATTCATTCAAATTCATATATAATATGTGTCCGTTAGCACAATAATTTGATTTAAAATCATTCGATTTTGATGAAATTCGGTACAAACGTGAAAACCTATGTTTATTCTAGAGGTTTGAGAACCAGCATGTGAACACGGAAACAGGGTTTTATCAGGTATTTTATGGGATAAAAATGAGTTTTTACAATTTGTAATGCTCAAAATATATAAGATTTTGTGGTTTCTAAACCATAGAGCTAAAAAAATAAATAATTTAATACACTGAGGTGTCTTGTAAATGTAATTGTTAGGAAGACATTCCAAAGAATTATAAGTTTAAAATTCCCATGTTAATCTTATGGAGAATAAGTAAACCATTGTAGTTTGCAAAATTTGCATGTTTAAGGATATATCTGGATCAAGTTTGGTAAATGTGTCTGTTTTAACCATGCTTCAATTAAAATCTCAATATTACCTTTTCTGTAGTAGCAAACCTAAGAACTCATTAAAACAATTTTTATTTAAATAGATAACGATTTAAAATTTGACTGTTTAAAGGTAATCTTTTAGTGAAAATTCAACTATGTAAATGAAAATTCACTTAGTCTGTAGTTTTGCCGTGTCAGGGGTTTATTTAAACTGATAATGTACACTTACTAACTTTGATGAGATGGGGACACAACCATGACATATTTTAATCTTTAACCCAATAATGAATTAAATATATTCTCATGAATATGAATCAAACCTAGTCACTATAACTACACAGTGTTCTTTGACTAAAGAACAAGTAAAAAAACCAAAAAATTTGATTATTTGTTCTCATCACAGCTTCCTAAACAAGCATGCCGTTCCGATAAAAAGTAGTCAGCAAACAATTTGTTTACCACCACTAGCTTAGAAGGTCAAATGAAAAAAAAGCATAAATAAGTAACCGAAAGACACCACACATGAAAACTTATCTTGGACAATATTTTTATAGCAATTCCGTCCAATTAATTCTAAGGCTTTTAATAACGATCACTGCACTGGAAAATGAGTGTGATGTAGTTTTTATAAAAGTTTTAACATGTTTTATTGTAACAAAATAAAATTGTTTAGATATTACAGTGTTGATTTAATTAAAGAAGACTTATCCTGTTCACCCATGACTATGCTGAAAGGCCGGGTTTGACGTCTCGAACGTTTCCCGAAACAGCGATTGCTTCTATTTCAACCTTGGCTCCCTACAAAAGAAAGACATGAATGGATTGATATGTTGGTTGTGTGAGAAATGAACAGGTACAGTGGAACCTTGATAAGAATACCCTCGATAACAAGCCACCCTTGATAACAAGTGGAATTTTCAAATCCCCTTGAAATTATTTTACACCTAATCACATGTTACTGCAAACCTCAATGAACCTTTGATGAATTATTAGTCAACCTTGATTACAAGTCTTATTTAATAATCCCCATGTGAATCTTGTTATCGAGGTTCTACTGTATTTTACTATATAATATAACCCCAACAACTATTAGTTTAGCCAAAGAGTCTTACCATGAAAGTCAAAACCTTCAAAACACATCTGAGGTTTAAATGCAGTATTAATTGACTTTCTTTTTTTAAGCAGCAATTAAATACCTAACTTATAGAATATAATAGACAAATTTCAACTTATCAATAACTGTAATTTATATCCAAAATGGTTAGGAACTCTAGTAAAATTTGTTTATAACCGAATGTGTAAACCTAAAATAAAGAAGGCAAAGCATTGTCAAAAAAAGTTTAAGTGTACAACACTATTTGATGTGCTGAACTTGAATTTGGGCAAAATACTTTTTTAAATTTTGGATATTGAACAGCATTCAAAATACAAAAGTACCATGGAATACGTAACTAAATTGTACATCTTCCATTATATTATGAAAACATTTTTCCTTCTTTACACATATCATTTGGTTATGCAGTTGAATTCACATAGTTCACATAGTTCGCCCATTGAGGAAAAAGATACAATGAAAATATGTTTATACAGTATAAAGAGGATAACAGAAATCTTACTTTCATAGCTCTGATCAAGGTGAAGTTACTTGTTTTATAATTTACATTGTTCGAGTAACATTTATATTGTTTGAAAACAAATTTATTAGTAATAGTATTTATTAAGTATTTATGTACATTTACTTACCAAAGGTAATTTAGCAACTTGGAAACAAGATCTTGCCGGGTAAGGTTCTTCAAAATCTGAAAGATAAAGTTTTTATAGTTATGCTTCCTTCATAAATCCAAGCAATGATTATAGTAAGAATGTTTAACAAGTGGAAGTTAAGAACGAGACGGAGTTTGTTTTTAATGTTCAATCAACCAATAAAGTTTGTGAAACGATAAAATTTCCTTTCTCTCTGATTAGGCCGAATGATGATCACTGATCACTGTGAAAATCAACAACCAATAGAACATCTTCTATAAATATTTACCATCTTAAAGATAATGACAGTATAAGTGGAACAATACCTATCAAGTGTACCATAGTATTGAAGATATGTTTACTCAATACCTGAAATAGCACCAACTCTATATACGATAATAATAGCAAAAAACTAAACAATTACAGGTAAGCCTATCAATTAACGTGTGTACATTGGCGTGGGCAGAAAATGGAGTAGACATTCTGACGACACCTCCAGAAGTGGATCCTTTTGTTAGCCTGATGATGTCGGAGTTAAAGAACCGCCGAAACATATGTAGCACGTTTTAAAATATGACACTACAGTATGTTAAATATTTTTAAATTATTAAATTGTATAACTAATTTTTTATGCTTTGACACTATTCCTGTATAGAAACTGTATAAAGAGAATAAATATAATTTGAGTTGATTTGATTTGATTTTGTTAAGGATTGTTCGACAAGGTATGTTTAACCAATATTAGCTATCTATTTCAATTTGGTTACTCACAAAAATAAATTAAATAGAAACAACCTGATAAATAATTTTCCAAACTTGTTATATTTATAGAGGGAGAGTTCAAAGATATATTATAAATAAAAATAATTGCACTGTAATATAACAAAAATTATCATAATTGCTGCAGGCAAGCAATAAATGACTTCTTTAGCTAAATTATATAAGTTTTTTTACTTTTTTATTTTTTGGAAATAAATAAATAAAATAGTTATAATCATTAAATTATATGATGTCCAGCACATTACGCCAAGTATATATGGATTTTGGAAAGAGTAAAAAAGATATTCACATGACTTACCCCCATACAGGCCGTTTTTGTAGAATTAAAGCTTTTTAATTTCAAACCTGTCTAAATAAATAGGTAAATAAATAATTTGTTTGCATTTCTGGTTTGTGTACTAGTATTATATTTGTTACATTTGGATAAGCTGATTAAAACATACTCACATTTCTTATAAACTTCATTCACAGTTGGGAAGTCGTCCATATCTGCTAGGAATACTGTTGTCTTCACAACTGAAATGCAAATGTCAGTTTTTAAAAACATGATAATGTGCAGAAATTAAAAATATGTTTATTACAATCATCAAAAGAATAAATTTTCCACTTTTCTGCAAAAATAAAGTGTGTACCCTATGTGTTATTCAGAATAGCAATAGTAGCCTACTTGATCTGTGGCAAAATCAATACCTCAGACATAATCTCTTCAAAACTGAACTGAAGTTAGTTTACCATTGATATAAATAGTTTGTGATATTCACCACCAAAAATATTACAACAGACTACTATAGATTTTCCTCAAATTAAAAACTTGTAAGCCAATTGGTATTACATCAAAATAATTAATGAAGATTGAAGATGCGACTTCTGTAGCAAATAATAAATATATATGACAGATATATGAAATGTTGGCCTAGCAACTGTCCTTTGAGAAAACACAATACAGGGGTGTTTACAGTTAATCTATGTTCCACTGTTCAATCATTAATAATCATTGTCCAGTATTAACTTCTTGCTACCTTCTTTTAGATTATAATCATATTGTTGATCTTTTGTTATATTACACCACTGTCGTTAATAGAATGATACGTTCACCATTTAAGTTGTTTTTTACATAGCAAGTTCTATAGACTACATGCAAGCTATTTTTGTTTTTTATATCAACTGAGATGAGTACTACTAGGTGTGTATTTCAACCCAAATATGAGTAAAAGATGAGTGTAAAATGGTGCGTGATCTGTGAACGTTTGTTACTGACTAAGATCAGCTGTTTCATTAGCTAGGATCATTTATTTAAAGCCCAATGGTCAGGAACAGCTGGGTCCAGTTTCAAAACATCAAAAAGCTTATGACTTTTCAGGATCGATCCGGCAACCTTTTAATTATTTTGTGAGAACTATAACCTCTCAGCTACTGACCGTTGGCGTAGTATGAGTCGGCAGCGTCCAGTATGTGACCGAGGTTGAGGAGGGCTTGTTCTGCCTCAGGTCCGGCTCCTCCCTCCACCAGCTTCAGTGTGTCCTTGTTGAGACCGAGGACTCCGGAGACAAACACTGTATCTCCGATCTGCACGGCCTGGCTGGAGAACAACAACTGTTATATTGTCTGAGAAAACTATTAAGATTCTCTTTATATAAATTATATCATCGCCAACACATTACTTGATAAGTGTATATGCAATAGAAGGTAGTATAATCGGTGTAATTAATTGATAAGTGTATAATCGGTGTTGTCTAAGTTGGACAGTGTTGTCAAGCGGTAACTGCCGTTTTGGAGAAGTTTGTTCTTCATAATCGGGCCTAGATCCAGTAGTAAAGACTCTACACAAAGTATGGTAGTGTAGTGTTTTACTATTGGATCTACGCTCAGTAGATGATAGAGTACTTAAACATCTCTAAAACACATCGGCATTCAAACACAGCTTGATGTGATGTTCAACCCAGAAGACAAGGAGTATACATTTTTGTCAGAACCACCGGGGAACATTACACTTGTCACAAAAAACTATATGTACTGTGAGCAAACTGTTTTCCTTCTTAATTTAAGAAAAGCTATACCATTTTAAAGCAAACCTTAATGATAAATTTAAAAATCAAATGGTGGATAATACACATCTCTTTACTGACCCTTTTAAGATTTCAGAAGAAACAATATTGGAATAAGCACTAAAAACTTACACACAAATATTTATTAAAGATAAAATAGTGTAGATGGAGGTCCAGTCGGGCCATAAACCTCTATTATACTAATTAAATACAGTAAAACCTCAACAATTTGTGGACCCAGAGGTTGTCGAGTTTGGGGGTCGTCAAGTTATCCAAAACATTGAGATTTTAAATGAGTTTTAAATAAATACATAACAGACTAATTTTTACAAATAAATGTATTACTTACATGAGTATTTTTACAATTGAGAAAACAAACTTCAAAGATAAGTTTAAGGTTACAAAATTTAAACTAAATGTTCTGAAAAAATTGCTTTTTTCACCCTGTCAGCTGTTGACTGTCGAGTTAGTGATGTTTCACTGAATAAATGTTTATCAAAATTTACAAGGGTTGCCCTTAAATTAACATCTCTTGTCAAGAAGAATTGATCCAGTCCAAATCTGAAATCAGCGGTGTGTTCTTTACCCATGGTGGTAGGAAATAGCTTATTTCCTATATGCGAAATTCGCTAAAATTGAGTCTTTTCCTTCCACCATGAAGAAAAGCCCTACTTTAATTAATTTCCTTTTTGAATAAGGTCTTTACCATATTCTTAATCAGATATAGGTTTCACAGAATTAGTTAACTAAAAATAAAAAATTGTACGACAGATAAAAAAATCATTGATTGGAACCTCTATTTACCTCTTTATTACCTCTCTATTAACCTCTCTTTAAATAGTTGGCAAATACTTTTTTCTACGTAAAATTGTTACTGTCATTCAACATTAGATACGTTTTTTCAAATACAAATACATAATGTTTCATTTTGAATTTTGTGACTAATTTAACTATATCTAACAACTTGTGGTTGGTTTTTTTCTATTTTATAAAAAACTGGATTTTGGTTTTGTCCGAATTACCAAACATTTATCTTTGCTGATTAACTCACTGAGAAGATTCAGGTTCCACAACTTCATTTGCATAAATTGATCTCCTTTTCCAAACCATCTCGTGTTACACTTTTACGGATTTAAACACAAAATCACACAACTTTCAATTTCAGCACCGAAACACAAACTGCTTTACTGTTTGACCTTTCCATATAAATGTTATCTTAATGACTGCCAGTATATAATGTTGATCAATTATCATAGATAAATACTATACATTGTCTTTAGTAAGGGAAAAGAACACATTTATTTGAAGAAAAAGCAAATACGTTTGTGAGAAGCAAAGTCAACTTGCGTTATCAGATACGAAAATCTGATTCATAATTAGGTTCAGGGTAAAATTTTCAATAAAGGTTTAAAACTGGTACCTTTTAATATAAAAATGTTTATCATTATGTTATATTAGTTAAGTCAAATTTGATTACTTTATAAGATATATGAAATCTTATTTTTGCACGGTAAAAAGATATCCCTCAATGCAAATAAAGATGGAAAAACTAGTGTTATAAAAAATGCTAAGGACAAGCATTTTTATAAAGGCTTATGCAGCTAAGCATTGAAAAATAATTGTACATGCAGGAATCAAGAGTCAAGAATCAATATTTTATTCCGTTAGATATGTACATGAATTTGGATACGCCAATAAAGTTGATTACATGCTGCAAAAACACAAGTCAAAGATCTACCCAGGGCCGGTTCTATACATTACTCTACTGTAAGCGAACAACATTTTGGCCCCCTCTCCCAATACAAAATGTATATAGTCTAAGATATAGTCAGATTTTGGTCAAATTGCTGTGACCCCTTTTGGTTGTGGAGTGCAAAATTAAAAAATCAAATATTAAAAATTAATATTAATTTCTAAAATTAAATATTTGCTACAATTCCAGGCAACGATAATGATGTCGTGTGATCGCGGAAAACGTTCAAAATTTCAAAGTGACCGCGTATAGCAATGATGAATTGCAGGAGATTTTTGCGATTTCATAGCAATTGAAGGTGGTAATATTGATGTTTCGTGATCATGGTAGAAGTTCACTTCCGTGATCCCAGGACTGCTCCGGTTAATTTGGTCTAAAGCTGCAAGTATCATACAACACTAAATACAACACTGTTGTTAGTAAGGATTATCTCTGGATACATGAAAAAAGAACGTCCGAAACATGCGAACGTCTGCCGGTCGAGTCCAAGTAGATGACGGAGGGTTGCCAAATGACAAATCTATTTGTTACTAGCTGTAACCCGCGGGCTTTGCCCCGTTTAACTTCTTAATTTTCAAGATGATCTCGTTTGCATGGCTCAATCACGTCCTGGTTGAAGTTCGTTCGCTACGCGGTGGGGCACACGGGAGGGACTAAGGCTAACATATCTTGTAGTGTCAGCGTTCGCCGCTAGGACTGCTAAGTTGAAAAATAAATTTTTAATTTTTTATTTTTTGTTATAAAATTAACTTTTTAATTATAAAATATTGTTTTTAAATTATAAAATAAATTTTTAATTTTAAAAATTAAACTGTCATAACATAACCTAACCAACCAGACTTGCTGATAATATAAAAACTATATAAGAAAAAAATCTAATTAATGATTACTTATAATTTTTAATTAATTATAAAATTAATTTTAAAATTTAGTATTATAAAATTAAACTGTCATAACCTAACCTAACCAACCAAACTTGCTGATATGAAAAATTTGTTGACAAAAAGTTAGTGCTGCCAGCGGGTTTCGTACCCCAGACCTCCTGAACTCCAATCCGTAACGCTACCAACTATGCCACGAACGCCGCTGGAATCACATCGTTTCGTTACGGTATTCGTGTCGCCTCAAGAGAAGACATTAACCACTAGAGATATGACGTCACTACACCTGTAGCCTTAGTCCCTTCTGTGTGCCCATTCCGTTCGCTACGCTCACTCACCTTTAGGTTGGAGCTCGTTCGCTACGCTCACTTTCCTTCAGGTTAGCTCGTTCGCTACGCTCACTCGCCTCCAGGTTGAAGTTCGTTCGCTACACTCACTCACCTTTTGGTTGCAAATTAGCTGTTGTCATAAATGTAAAAGATATAATAGTGCTAGTGCTGCACCCTGTTGGTAATCCTTGTAACTTTAATGCTATTGAACATCACAGAACAGAACCAACTTGTTTAATTGAAACAGCTGTTAAGATTCAATAATTTCATTTCTCATAAGGTTAACATGGGATGGGAAACTCCAGAGCCACTGGGGCGGACCCCGAAAGGATTTTTGAAATAAGAATATGCCTATATGTTAATCGGGAATGTGAGCTATCATCATGCCAAATTTCAGCCCAATCCGACCAGTATTTTTCGCGTTTACTTTTCCCATACATACAGCAACCACCTCTTTTTTATAATAGTTTGTTATTATTTGTGGTTATTGTTATTTGGGAACAATAATAAATCAAGTATTTGGAGTATGCCTAAGGGTCTCCCAACTTTAAATATAAGATTTACCCTTAACTCCTACAGTCCCATTTGGGGATGCAAATAAACTTTTAACCTCTAGAATTGAATATATAACATTTATAATAAGCAATGCCTCTAATCTCCTTCCTTAATATTGGAGAGCGCTTTTGCGCCTCATTTTGCTTCGCGAATGCGTACTTTGCTTCCCCCTTAAGCCGTGTGTATTTATCCTGTACCAAGATAATAAATCAATACAAATTTGAACATAAGTACCTAAGAAAGCATTTTCCAATCTTTAACCTTTATAATTGATTGGGTTGAAACATAAATAAATCCTTATGAATCTTTATTTAGTCATCTTTACTACATAGTTCATCATAGAAGTCTTAAATAATGAGTCATAAATATTCAAAAATATAAATAATTTCTAGGGTGTTTTTTGTTTACAATAATATAAATCAATTTGCATAATTTTAATTTAATTTATTCTCGGTTTATTTATTTTTCAGACAGAGATCATACAACATTATTTATGAGAAAACTCATCCTTGGTGGGACTAATTTTTCAAGCACAATAGCTGCGTTAATAAAAAAAATAAGACATATGATTAGATGATTCAAAATTCTGATTAAAAAATCAATAATTGTTAAAAAACTTTTAATAAACTACTTGCTAAGTGGCAGGTATCAGGATCCAAACACACAACATTGCTGCCATGGGTAATAGTCCGTAGCGACATTGTTGCATACCTGTAGGTATATATAGTCAATGGTAGCGCTCCAGACTAAGCCACTGACTCACAGATTAAGTAGTAATAAGAGTGTCTTTGTGAAATGAATATCAGTAAACGTTCAACTGGCCAGTGGCAGGGGGTTTTAGGGGTTTGAACGCTGAAATGGGGTTTAAAACCCCCCGTTGTAACCCCGCCCTCCCTTCTTAGGGTTAGCCTAGTTACGCCTATGAACTGCACACATACTTTCCACAACAAACACAATACAAAATAATTATTTTAAAGATCTTTTGTTAAACAATACTTTTAAAAATGACTCTGACCTGTAAGGGCCTATGGGTTTAGCAGCTCTTTTTGTAAATATATATCTCTTAACCAACGGTTCCGCTATACGAACCATGTCTGTTCACAATTAAATCTACACTCAGCAAAACTAACATGAACGGTTCTAACACAACACTGAACTATATCTAGAGAGAAGTCTCTCTTATCTGTATCATACTATGTTCACCACAGCAATTTATGATAAATATCATGTTTCAATGTATCATCGCTTCAATCTTTTAAAGATGAATAAAGAAAGTAATGTCAACTAAATGAGAATAGATAATTGTTTCCAAAGTTGTCTTTAATATTTTTCATTAATCATTAAAATATATAAGCAATGTGTGTTTCGAAATATTTTCTTCTGATGATTTACCCATCTAAACCTTGGACAAAGTTCCTTCAATGTCAGAACAGCCCTTTAAAATTAGATGTTTTTTTCCAACTTCTTGTAATTTCATATATTGATAACAATATCCTCTAGAAGTCTTAGGTTGTATATACGGTAGTTGTTTTTAGTTAACAAAGATTTATTATTAATGTAACTTAAACCATTGTGTACATAATGTGTGATATGAATAAAACAGTTTTTATTAATTGAGTAGTCAAAGGTGCAGACTCAGTCAGTGAAATATTTTCTCTCAGATTTTTGTTACTAAACCCAATAGTTTCTGATTTGACTTACTTGTACGGTGAACCTTTCACCATAGGAGCCAAATGGGAAAATATCACACGTCTAATAAGCCCAGACATTGTCAACTTGGAGATTCACAAAATGAAGCTACACACTTGAACACTTACAGGAGTTTATTTGCTGGTTTATCTCTATTGGGAAGTGAATTGAAGCTAAAGATTGTCAACGCTCTTTGCCCTGGTTATCTTACCAAGTCTTTACATCACAGCTTCACAATTAGCAATCCGTTATTGAATTGGCTTCCTAGTCAAGTTTCTCAATGATTTTGGCCCAGATCAGCAAAGAACGTCAAACATATCTTATATGAATTATGATAGACAAAAGTTGTTAATTTATTTTGTTATTTTACTAAAGTCAAAAAAGTCTTATAATGGTGTAAGCTTAGCTCTCTTTTCTTGGATGAAACCTTTGCCAGATGTAAATAGATTAAACAATTTCAGTCACTTTATTAAAAGAAATCTTCAAAATTTCATAAGATATTCAATAGTTTTTATCTAAGATTTCTCCACTCATTTCATGCGCTTTTAAAATATTTAAAAACAAATTAATATTTTGAGTTCTAAATAATGATTTTTTGTATTACATAATTTACTGTTACATTCAATAATAAAAAAAAAATATTAACACATAAACTCACAAACAAATTTCAGACTTTATTAGAACTTTATGTTTTTAGAAGTTACATAATTTAGGATACATTTACCATACAGGGACAAAATAAATGCAATTTTAAAAACTTAAAACAAATAAAAACCAATGAGAAACATTAAAATAAATGTTAACACACTAACCTGTAAGGTCCCACTGGTTTGGGGGCTTTTGAAGTAACGATGGCCTTCTTCGGTGCAGGTTTCGGTGCCATTTTGATGTAAAAATATCCAATACTTGACACAAAGTAAATTTTTGGACCAGAAGAGTTGATAAGACAAATCAATGGCGGCCACTATCAAATGACCTTCGCTCTTTAATGTGTCCACGAACAATAAAACATGAATAACACATTTGTCTATCTGGTGGACTACAAGTGACAAGTCTCTGATGTCAGTATGTGCTGTAGTGCAGAGGAATGCAAGGTTAAATAATAATTAACAAAAAAACGTTCATACCAGTTTCTTAGTTATAAACTGGTTTTCAGGGCAATTTATATGCAGAATGTGTGCAGACTATTGCTTGGGATGCTATTAACTATAAATCAAGGTTTTTAAATAAATAACTATAAAAAACATGTAAACATCCATGTTCAGTACTTTAATAATGTAATTTTGTTTAAATTTAGTTCTTAATCTATACTCAGGTCAAAATAACTCTTTGAAAAATTCAGTAGTATTTTATTATCTAGAAAATCTATAGATATACAAGTGCACGCTAGTGTTTATATAGTGTACTACTGTACTTACACTTTGTTCAAATCAAATGATTATTTTTTTTTTATAAAATTTCACCTACTGTATAATATTAAAGATCACAATATTTGCACAAAATTCCCATCCTGAAACGTTTTCCAATCTCAACACTAATAACAAATATTCATGATTCGAACGACCCTAGTTTGTTAAACATTCCGTTTGTCTGTTTGTGCTAGTTTGGTTAAGAATATACTACCATAGACAAAAAGAATTAAATATAGACCGTCAGCTGTGCTGCGGTTACCATAGGTTCTGGCGCACACTGCTGGGATCGCCATGTAGTTACGGCATACACGCTCAGAAACTACACAGTGCTTCCAGCGGTGTGCGCCAGAACGTATGGTAACCATGGTAACCACAGCACGGCTGACAGTCTATAAGTAATTCTTTTTGTCTATGATACTACAAACTTAAATAAACTGCCTGTTTAAGGTAAATCTGGTACATGCCTGACCATTTGGGATGTGAAAAATACTCGATTCTCTGGTCTAAGCTGGGTATAAGTATCTCTTTGAAACATTTTCAGCAAAGAATTATTTAAAAATTGTTCGGCTTTTAATATTTTCCTGCGCTCCATCGATATGCTATTTTTAACCGCCGTCTTTATTTATACATCCAACAAAACTAAGGCTAATTAGTGGTTTTGATAAAATTTCTAACTATTCTACAAATCGAATAATTGTGATACTTTATGCTATTCTACTAGTAAATCACTAATTAAATTTCAAGGAACAGCAAGAAAATAGCTCACTCCTTTTTATGAATAAACAAAGCAATATAATACTATATAAAATCAATCAAACTACAGTACTCCTAAAAGTTAAGAAGAATACAGTAGACTCCCTCTTATCTCTTATCTCGACTCCTCGGTACCGAGGCCAGTCCGGATAACGGGTTTTCCAGTGAAACCGACGTCCCCAAAAACTCGTTAAAATGGACTGTTTACTGTGATATTCTACTTAAATTTAGGAGAGCATTGTATTTAGACACATGATCCCCGGTCTCAACTCTTTCCCACGAGAAAAGTCGTTTCAGTACTGCTCACTTCCTGCCGATCTAGTCCGGTTAAACCAATGTGCTGATAAAAATTGTCCAGTTAAAGAGATGTAATTTCTGCCGAGTGTAGTCCGGTTAAACCAATGTCCGGTTAAAAGGTGTCCGGATAAGAGGGAATCTACAGTACTAAAATTTAAAAAGAATTTCCTTGAATTGGTAGAAATTTTTGCATTTGATGTTATGGTTGCGAAATATCAAACTATTCAAATCAAACAGGAGAGAAAGAAAGGGAGTTTGAATTTATCAAAAAAGTACGTAAAAATAATATTAAGTCTTGTATTTTGGAAAATGTTTGTTTTTAACCTTTAAAACTGTGACGGTGGCAGTTTACATGTGGATTTCTTCCAGAGATTTCTCCGTAGCTCCAGTAGCGTCAGTTGTCGTGGCATGCTTCACACTCCATGAATCCGCTGCAAACAGTTCAAAATTAATAGTACTAGTATCTTCCAACGATCTACTACTTCCACCTTAAGACACCCCTTGTAGGGGTGAAATGTAAAATTTATTTTGTTGTAAACTTTTTGTGTGTTGTTAACTGCCTGCAACTCTTTTCTTGGGCAAGTTAGATGTTGTAGTATCCTTATATATAATACGTGAAGGCGATTTCTACGAAACACTACTCCTCCGTTAATAATGGACGGATTTTTACAAACGATGTGTCAAAATTAAGTATTTTTTGTGTAGACGCCCCCTTTCACCAATTCCTATAGTAAAAGTCCTTGGGCTTTGCCCCACAGTCCATCACAATCCCAATGTATTTCTTATGAAGAAAAGATTTTCTTTACTTAAACAGACGAATAATTTGTATTAATTACAGCTGTTCATAGTAAACACATGATACACACAAGAGCGTTCGTTTTCAGAATGAGTGTTTTCAGTTTCGATAACTGGAGTGGAGTTATTGATTATATTATCTTTGAGTTGACTCTTTATGACTGTTATTAATTTTGAAATAACGCCTGTAATACTTTGCAATTGCTCAAATTCGAGCAACAGGAGCACTAGTATATAGTTAGATAGTTGTTTTATCAATTCCTTCTTCCTTCATGTATCACAAAATAAATCCAGGTAAATAGGTTATATAACTCCTATAAGGCAATGAAATGGTTCATAAGTTCTACACGGTAATTTTAGAAGTCATAAGACACTCAAACACCCCCACCACAACAAACCTGCAGACTAAGGGAAATTCAATTTGTTTGGTTGAATTTTTACCAAGTAAAAATAAATAAAGTGAATCGGCCCAGGGTCTAAAATCATGCAATGTACAGTGATAGCTTCTTCCCTATAGGGAAATTTTCTGAAAGACCTGTTTGTTAATTATTTAACAATTCTATTAAAATAATGTGATAGCCAAAACTTACTTAGACCAACAATGGCTTCAATGGCTACCTTAGCTCCCTGAAACATTAAAAAATCAATTAGGACTTTTCTTTAATAATATGTATGGTTAAAACAGTACATTTCTATTTCAAAATATACCCCCGCCGCAGCAAACCTGCAGACTTAGCGAATTTCCATTTACCTGATTGGATTTACACTAAAATGTCACCTAAAAAATATCACATTTATTCCCTACTTAAGTAGAATTAGTTTAACGAGTACTCAGGATTGCTGCAACACGGAGGGTAAAAAAGTGTTTTTGTTGTAAAATGTTAATACTGTAGCTTAGGCGCATAACAATGCTTCAATATACTAAATTGTTTGTTTTTTTAAGCTCTGCAAAATGGCTTGGAAAGAAATTGTGAAATCTTTTGTTTTTAGGGTCAAATATGGGAAAAACCGATTTTTACCCCATGAACCCCCTATAAACCCCCGGTCCCATAGTCCGATCATGTTGGTTTGCAAACTCGTTCGAATGAATACAGGTTTACAGGTTTGTACCAAATTTCATAAAAATCAGATCATTTTTGCTCGAGTTATCGTGCTAACAGACACTTATTTATACCTATATGAATTAGAACAGATGGTGTTTTCAGCCTCTAGGGACCTCAAAACAAAAAAGTAAATCGGTTCCGGGTCCAGGTCTTACCATAAGTACTATGGTAATAGCTTATTCCCTATATGGGAAATTCGCTAAAAGTTAAGACTTGCTTTGTGACAAGGGGAATCAATTGAAAAAAATTGTAACCTAGATAAGAAGAATAAATTGGAATAAAATAAATATTTTTCTTAAAGTCAAATTACTTTTGAGTGCTGAATATATTTTTTATTTGTGTTCTGTCCTTTAATTGTGTTACTCAAGTTTTTAAAGTATAAAAACCACTGTTTATAATTTTACTTGGTAGAAAAGGGATAATTGTAATGTTTACAATATTTATTTCTAATAAATATGGTTGAAATATACAGGGTGTTAAAAAAGTGGGGACATATTTTACCTAGTGATTCCTTGGGTCAAAATAAAGAGAGAATCAAGAAAAACATTTTTTCCAAAATCGCTTAAACCAGATATTCGCCATTTTGTATTTTTTTAACACCCTGTATAAACTTTCACCAAAGGATGCACTGTCGCCATTCTGTTTAATCTGAATCCTTTTGTCAGTAAAGTTTTAGAATAATTTTTAATTTCACTTAATGTAATTCTAAAATTAAAAAATAAATATTCTAATAATAAACACTTGAGTACCTATTTATTTTTATCTGAGCTAAATTTATAAAGGAAAAATTCACACCCCTGTTTTTAAAATGTTTTTAGGTAGTAGTATTTTTTGTTTTTAGTGGTACGTTTTTAGTTATGGTTTAGTGAAGCATAAAACTTAATTTGAAATTTCAAATTTACGATACTATATGTTTTTGGATACTAAATAGTAGAACTTACCAAGGGCAGTTTTGATACTTCAAGTGTCGTTCTAGCAGGATACGGATGTCGGAAATCTGAAAAGTGCTTTAGTAAATTTAGTTATCCATTAAGATTGTTTTACTTTTCAACATACAAACATAAATTGGCACCAGGCTCAAAACCTCTACATGAGTTGTCTCTTGATGCTTTTACATTGGTTTCATACACATTCCCTAGTAGCTCAGAGGGGGTCATAAATTTATTTTTTATTCATCCATCTTAGTCTTTTGGAAAAATATCATGGATTAAGCAAATACAATTACAACAAAGTAATTCAAAATTTGTCATCGATTGGTTGGGAAATTTTTTTTAATTATTGTAATTTTGTTAACACGTTTGCTTTGACGTGCACCACTGGAGACGTACATATTGAATTTCAATGAAAATTAAATATGTGTACTAAATACCACAGCCTTATGTACACCCTAGTAACAAAGAAAAAGAAAGAATTATACTAATAAAACCGTGTACCATCCTTGGTCCTTGCTGACCTGTCGTCTCTATAAAGCTACAAGCCAATTATTCTATGGCCGATGTGCGCCACCCGTCGCCATGCCAAGTACTGCGTAGAACAACGCATCAAGAAGCTTTAATGACGACACCGTCATCAAGTTGGTTTTCGGTTCAAAACCAAATGAAAGCTCACCCTTTTGACAAACAAGTCCGTCCAACATAAACTTAATATTTTTATTTTACAATTATCTAGATAACTAATGTGGTCAAAGTAAATGATCACAATATAAAGACTTTGAATAATGTGTAGAAAGTAACATTTAATAATTTACTTACACTCTTTGTACATTCGATTGACTGCCAGAAAATCGTTCATGTCATGAAGATACACAGTAGTTTTCAAAACTGAAAATACAATAAAAGTTTTATTTATTAGTGCAAGAGAAAGTTTCAGTTAAAATATTAATGTAAAAAGCTGTAACTTCTTTGGACTCTCAACCCCGATTTACCAACATTTTTGGCTGCAAAATGTAGTGACTCGCTATTTGCTGCTAGCAAACACAAAAATGTTACAAGTTACAATGAGTTTTTGCTGATAATAAATACTTACAGCTGGAAAGGAAAGTGCACATTTCTAAAAGGAAGAAGGTAGCAGCCAGGAAATTGTTGTCCCTACTTTCTTCTCTATAAGCCGCTTAATTGTAAGTTTCTCTACAAAAAGTGACTGACCATTAGCAAAGTGTGTATTGGCTTCGTCTAAGATGGCCGACAGGTTGTCCAGAGCCTGTTTAGCCTCCGCCTCTGCTCCGCCGGGTACTATCTTCTTGGTCTCCTTATCCAAGCCTAGCACTGCGGAGACGTACACCGTGCGGCCAAATTGTATGGCCTGACTGTCACAAAACACTGGGGGTTAACTTGTTAGAGTTGGTTAACCTTCCATCAATCATGCAGCGGAGGTTTCCTCCACACACGAATCACACTTGAAAAATTGAATAAGATTAGGCCAGCCCTTAAAAATTTCAGACTGAGGGAGGACGAATGCCAATGAGACATGTGGACTGATTAAATTGGCTCATTAGGTTATTTATGTATGAAAATAGCATTGGCAAGTGTTCAACATATAAGACCTAAAATAAATAAATAAAATGAAAATGAGACAGCCTAAGCCTTCATACTGTAATAGGCAATCGAAAATATATAAGGATTGATAACGGTGAAAAATAACAAAACCTTTTTGTTTTGTACAAATTAGAGAGTTTTGTATACAAAAGTCCACTTTGTCCTAAAACTACACATACAATTTCCAGAAAATCAAACAATTTGTCCCACTAGAAGCTTTAGTTATTACATGTTTTCTAAATAGATATAAATGTTATTGAAATACCTGTAAGGGCCAACTGGTTTGGGCGCATTTTCAGTGTAAATCTGTAATCTGTGAAAGATGTCAGCTGTCTCAAAAGAATCCGAGGCCGACGAAGATCGAGCTTCCACTCTGCATATGGAAACTATCGAGTACAAAATTGGAGCAAACAGAAACACCTGAAGCTTGAGAAACATGTTGCAGTGGACAGTGGAAAACACAAAAGGAAACCGTAGCCATTAGCGACGGTTACAGCCATTGAGATAACAAATTGAGAGTTTAACAGATTTGAAATCTGATAGTCGCTTTATGACGGATATAAATAAATCAGCAAGTAAACTGTAAAGAATGTTATAATGTTGATAAAACACACAATTGGTAGTGGACAATGTAATTACTGAATAATTAGTCATATTGCTCTATTATTATCATGACATAGAAATGACATAAAATTTACTTGTTAACAAAGGTCGTATGTTTTTCCTACAACTTGTTTTGAAAAGAAATGAGAATCAATACTTTATTGTTTTACATAACTGCTGCTTAGAGAAACTAATTATATCCAATTTACTCTTTACAAAACGTCAATAGTTCCAATTCTTAATCCATATGCTAGAAAATGCTCTAGTGTTGCCCAACTTCATGTTTGATATAGGAGAATGTCTGCCATTATCAGCCCTAATTAATGCTTTCTATAGTGCATTTTTCTTAGTTGGAGTAGGTATTGAATGTCAGAATTATTTGTGCTGGTCGTTCACGACCAACTGCTCTACTATGTATGGCCATAGCAGGACAGTAGAGCAATTAGGTTGTTAGTTAACCTCAAAGAAAACTAAGTGATTGACCAGAAATAATAGCACTCAAATAATATGAGTGTAATTAAAATGCTTACACCCGGTTACTTCTTTGCATCAAAATGGAAAGATGATGGTTCATCGGTTGAAACAGCATAACCTTCAGAAAAGGCTCATCCTCATGTTTAATGGGTTAGTTACTTTACTTACCGCTGTGGCCATTGAAACCGAAGTAGGTTTTTTGTCTCTGCAACAATTCACCTCCATTTTTGATCAGTCTTCGGCTTGCTCCCAAGTTACTCCTGAGGTCTTTTACTCCATAGTCTTTCTGTCTTAGTCCATCTTAGCCTTCCAAGTGGTCTGGTGCCTGCAGGTCTCACCTCAAACACTTCTTTAATATGTTTTTGGGTCACCTCATGATGTAGCCCATCTTTCTTTTGGGTAGGGTTAAAAGAAGTTCGTTGGTTTAGCAAAATAATAATAAAAAATTATTTATCTCTATGTTACTAAAATATCCAAAATATTTTGTCTTATGAAGTAGTACGGCAGGGAGATTGATTGAAAAACTGCTAGAGTGTCTAAAGAGCTTGGTAAGAAATCATGACACCACAGAGATGTTGTATTTACTAATCTTAGCTATCGGAACTCTGAAAAATAATAGGCGAGGAGTGAGCACTGATAATATTAACTTATATGCAATTAGTAATGGGCAAGTGGTTATCCTACAATTTGGGTTATAAGTAAAACCAAAACAGTTTGGTAAAATACTTTTACTTCACAAACTTTCCATTACATTTATAACAAAATGTAATAGTATATTAAGTTAATAGTCCTGAAATTAGGTGTTTACCGGATAAGTGTGGTCGTTCCCGTTCGAGACAAAGTCGAGTGTGGGATTACCTTAAGAGTCCGATAAACACATTTTGGACGAGTGATGTACGATATTTTACGCCATACTACTCTAAGCTAATTTAACAATAAAAAACTGAACAAATCCTTATATATTCCCGCCGACTCAAGGACTAGCAATCACTACTCATAACCTCTAAGAGAGGTTATGTTTTTGTTTATAACCACTCATTGCAAAATATAATCAGCTGGTGTCCAGTAAAAACTCATTAAAGTACAGTGCTATTGTTATAATGAAACCCCATTAGATCAAGCTGGTGGCAAACAGCTGTTTTCTGGACAGGACTATACCTTTGCGTGGGAAGTTCGTTAAAACAGTGTAGTGTGGCGTAAAATAGTTTGCATAGTTAAGAGAACATTTCATAATAGATTAGTTATATTCGATAATTAACAAAAATAGGTAAATTATGCAAGCATCGTTCTATACAAATTTACATTTTTTCTTTGGCACTCGTGTTATATTAACAACTTAGGCATTAGCAAACAACCTTAAAAGATAAGTTATAATTATTTTATTGTAAAATATATTACCATAGCAAAAATTATATACAAAAAGAACAATAAATAAATCTAAAAACATAAAATAAAACGTCAACACACAGAAACATTTTTTAGCTATACCTAGGATAAATGTGTAATGTGTAGCGATAGAGATCAAAAGGAAAAGATGCTTAAAAGTAACAAGTTAAAGTTAAAATGTAGTTTATTTATACATCTTGTTGGATGTAAAATTCGTTGTTGAAATGGAAGTAGTTCTGTTTCAAAACAATTTTCAATAATGTCATCAATTCATTACGTTGGTTGTCGTTCATTTTAGAGTATTCCTTCAGGTTATTATGTAGGATATCCAAGGTTTCTTTTACTGGTACGTTAGTATACAGGTTTGTTATAATTAGTGATGCTAGATTAAATCCAATGCTTAATTAGAATTGGTTGTGTTGCTAGCCTAGTGGGTAGCGTCTCGTACTTCGGTGCTGGAGGGACGGGTTCAATCCCCGGCACATCCACTAAAACTTATTCTCTTGTGACTCTCTCGTAAAATGCCACTGGTGTAGAAAAAAAAGAAAAAAAAAACTTGGGTTCAAGCGTGTGTTTTTAACGTTGTTTATCTGTTCAAGGCTATTTTTAAGACTGTGTGTATTTTTTAGTTTGATCTCATTTCTTATAATGCGCCCAAGTTTTTTAGCTATCCCGTAAGCAGGCGCAGGTATAAGATTCACCAGCGGTCTCACAGGTTTATTGTCCTTATGTAATTTTGGCAAACCTACATAATAACCTGATTTTCATGCCACAGGTGTATGTGTGGCTTTAAGTCAAGTACAGGGTAACTGGCACAGTGTTGGTGAACATGTTTGGCACTGTCTTGTTTTGGCCAGAGAATGATTTTCATACCACAGGTGTATGTGTGGCTAAGTCAAGTACGGGGTAACTAGCATAGTGATGGTGAAAATGATGTATCCATCTCTTGTTCTGGCTAGAGAATGCTTTACATGCCAAAGGTGTATGTGTGGCTAAGTCAAGTACGGGGTGACTGGCATAGTGATGGTGAACATGACTCAGCATTCTATTGCTCTGGCCGGAGAACGCCTGCAAAGTCCAGGGTACCTGGCATAAGTTCATTTCTGAGTGGTTGAGAAAAAGCCTTTAACAATCTTGCTCTGGCTTGAGCAGCTCTTTCACACCACATTTGTACGCGAAGCAGAGGCTACATGAGCGGTGATGGACCGACCGGGACAGTGATGGTGGCCATGGCCTGGCCCACTCTAGTTCTGGCCAGAGAAGGCTTCACATGCCACAGGTGTGTGTTTGTGTTGAACACCTCACAGGTAGCCAGCTGCAACATATCACATTGACGTAACAATACCACTGCTTAGCTTAGGTTTGTGTTTGTAATCTACTACTGGTCACAGTATACACTTGACTGACCTGGTGTACTCCGTCGCTACCAGCCGCTATGTAGACCTTCCCCTCAGCCACAGTGGCGCCGTGACTGTGACGTCCCACGGACATCGGAGTGTCAGCAGACCACTCGTGACTCATTGTGTCGTATCTGTCCAACACAAATAAACAATTACAACTTTGAGGACGTTTACACAAACAATAGATCAAACAAAAAAGAGCTATGTTTGTGAATCTTTAGACAAAATATTATAATGATTAATTCTTTACTAATGAGTATATCAATTTTGGTAGAGAGGAGCTGGTCTAGTGGTAGGGTTACTTACACTTGAACAGAGCGTAATGCTTGATCTTCTGAATCCAGACCACCCATGATGAAAATGAGGTTGTCCACCACGACCGAGCTAAAAAGTGAGCGTGGAAACTGCAATGGTGCCAACCTGAAAAATAAATTTATTATATAGTGTCATTATAGCAAATATACAGTAGGTAGTCATTTGTCTGTCTTCCCATAGTGGAAAAATGATGTACCAATAAATTTTTTTAAACTTAAAAAGAGGTTGGCGGCCTCTTTTAACCTTGCAATGCCTGTCCACATAGACTAAGCGCCCATGCGTGGATCGTTAACAGCAAAACAAGGAGTGAGCCGGTACAGTACAAAGGTGAACTGTACTGATAAAATGTTTTCGGCAGTGACCAGGATCCGAACCCACGACATCGCTGCCTTGGGCCCAAAGTCCGCGACGCTACCGACTGAGCCACAGACTCACTAAAATATTGCTATTTTATATTTATAGTTATTCAATCTCCATGGTGATGTGTTTTGGTTTAGAATGGTACAAGTACGAGATAAAAATGTTATGTAGATGTGTACTTGCAAGCCTCAACTTTACATAGAACTTCGTTCTTGGCTCATCACTGTTTTTCACTTAAAACTTATATAGATTATTAATGCTTACTGAACCTGGTCACGGTTTAGTATTCCTTTGTGAGGATTGAGGATTTAAGGTATTTAATAGAAGTGGCTCAAGCCAGTCACAAACCTTTGCCAATGTTGAGTATGCACGCATAACCTTTCCACATTTGCATGTACAGTCCCGTCAGAACCTGAAAAAATTCATAATTTAGATTTTAATACATCAAACAGCTACACACTAGAGCAAAGTCATACTAAAACCCATTTCAGTTTACTTTTAGTTTTAGTTAAATTTTTTGTGTGTCCGGTGTTTTACAATTTTATATAGGCTCTTGCTACAATTAAAAAGGTTGTATTGAATTGTAGAATTAAAAGGACAATACCTAGCTTACCTTATAATAAGTACAGGTAGCCCAGAACACACATGAAACACAATATCTCGTCAACAAAATATTTTATTCATTTTGACCCTTGGTTGGAATATTATTGATAAAATAAAATGATTACCTTATCCAACCACAGTTGTTGGTATGACGACTAGTTTCGTTCCTTAGAACTTTGTCAGGTCATTTTGTAAAAATTCAACCCATAACATTTTAAATGATCAAAATTATTTCCAGTCAAATATTATATTTGATACATAAATTAACAAGTTACACATCAAAGATGTATAAAACAAGAAGAAGAAAACCAACTGAAATACAGGTAGCACTGAGGAGAAGAAGAAACATCATGATTCAGTCAGTTATATTTAGTCAGTGGTAGTGATAAGACAGTGCTGGCCAGCATGTACAGTTTTAATCAGTTCTGTAAATTGTTATTTCATTTCAATTATTTTATCAAAATGACGAGTTTTAATTATTGTGATTGTGACAGTCTTTTAACGAATCTACTGACATACCACAATATATTAATTAATACATTGATGATGTGGCTGCATACAAAATTACCTGACAAAGTTCTAAGGAACAAAACTAGTCGTCATACCAACAACTGTGGTTGGATAAGGTAGTCATTTTATTTTATCAACAAAATATTGTTTGTTTGATGTGTCTTCTGTGTGTACTATGACCTCTACTTGTACTTCTAAGATAAGCTAGTAGCTATCCTCTTTATTCTACCACTCAAAATCCTACCCTAGAGCATTTCCTTGAACAAAACTAATCATAAAGGATTGTGTAAGACAAAAGTTGGTCGGCAGTGACTAACCAAGAATGCAAACAACTGAAAAATTATAGTTTAGGGTTTAGATATTAAACATTCACAACATCCAATGATAAATCAGAAACATTACCAGCGCCTGCTAGAGCATAGATATAGCCGTTGACAGCAACTAGTCCGTGATGACTGCGGCAGTGCGACATTGTAGGCAGCGCACGCCAAGACTTGCAGCCCTGCTCCAGCACCTAGACATACAATGTAGGCCTACAATAAACAACACACAATTATCTTACATCAGCCTATATCGCTTTGCAGTGTTCTCAAAACAGATTTAGAGCCAGAAAAGTCCATTTAATTTCCAATTATTCTACAAACTGAACAAAAAAAACATAAGTTAAGAGGTTTCTACAATACAGTTCTTCTCGAGTATGAGACCTATAATGGTTTTTATTCTGTCAACTACTGTTTTTTGATAGTCAACTGGTAACAGATTTCGGTACTTTCCTGTTAAAGGGAACATTCATTATTATCGATGATTTTTTCGATATATCGATATTTTTGTTTTCCGATCCATTACAAATTGACAACTGATCTTGTTTAGGCTAAAATAGTCTATTATATGGATTAAGAAATGAAACTGTTCTAAGCTAACCTAACATAACCGACCAAACTTGCTGTACTATTTAAAAATTCCTTTTGATAACAGAAAAACAAGTTAAACACGGAATTTTTAAATGTTACACAGCAAGTTTGGTTAGTTATGTTAGGTTTTTTTAACAGTTTCATTTCATTATTGTTTGTTGATACTGAACAAAATTTATCGTAGTTTCCAGCTGATATGTTTCAATTTGTTAATATCGATATATCGAGAGAAAAATCATCGATAATAATGAATGTTCCCTTTAACAGGAAAGTACCCAGATTTCAATAGAAGTTGATCTCTTCCTACAGAAACCTAATCATAAAATGTGATTCATTTGCGGAATCGTTGATTATCCCTTATTGTTTTTGGTTAGTGAAGAGACTAAGAGTGTTGGTATCAAATTTGGGCTGCAACGGAGCACGATGGATACCTTAGTCCTCATATTTTTGAAAGAAAGCTCATTCCCTTACACCATAACTGTACTGTTCACTGTACTCATCAAACTGCATACATTGACGACAGAATTACCGTCACCAGAGTTTGACCGCATGAAAGTGCTTTCAGAGATGACTGTGTCCAGTTACAAGTGATACAGCTAGTCTTGTCTCATATTTTTGTTCTTTAAAAAGAGTGATTTTGTTACGGGTTGGTTACATTTCTTTACTAACGGTTAGCTGTGCTGTTGCCCAATGGAAGATCCAATTGTTTAAAGTGCTTATATTGTCACTTTTCTACTACATCTCATGCCATTGCCTGGCTGATACCACAGACTGGTTTTGCACCATAAATTAATCTTGCAGTTACTTCTTTGGCCACCAGGATTCAGCCTTCTTATACTCTTCAGTACCCCCTATGACTTGACGCCCATCAGCATTACAGAGCCGTTTTCCAAGAGTTGAGGAAGGGTCTGAGTTCAATCTCAAACCACTTTAAAAGTTTCTTGGCACAGTAGACTCCCTCTTATCCGGACTCCTTGGGACCGAGGCCAGTCCGGATAACGGGGTTTCAGGTTAATCTGACGTCCCCAAAAACTCGTTAAACCGGATCGTTTACTGTGATATTCAACTTAAATTTAGCATTGTATTTAGACACGTGATCACTGGTCTCAAATCTTTCCCACAAGAACAGTCATATCAGTACCCCCCTTTTCGTGCTAATCTAGTCCGGTTAAACTGATGTGCTGATAAAAATTTCATTGTAGTTGTTAGCCTCCGGATTGCCAAATAATATTATAAAAGGTTTAAATACCTGCTATTAAGCAATCCAATTTTGTTGTTGACACAACTAGTTTCGGTGTCTGTGTGACACCATCATCAGGCTGTACAAGGACAGTTTTCTTTCTTCATACGAAGAGCGTCATATTTACACGAAAATAATAAATAAACATTTAAACACGACACAAACACGAATACGAGACATTTATGGTAACTGATCAGTTAAGAAAACAGACGACGCTAACCCGACGGAGTTTGAGTCCAGACTGCGGGTGGTCAGTGCAGTGGTGTACGTCCGTTATCTTATCATCCCAGGTTGCGTCCTGTCAATCACTCAATCACACCTCCCCTCTCCAGTAAACCGATGGCGGTGTCATACATAAAATTAGACGAGAAAAACTGTTGGTCATTTAGTACATTATGGTGGTCGGATTTTACTGCCTTATATATCTCGAACTCTTCCAATGTGTTAATTTTATATCTGTCTTTAGAAAAATGTAGAATATCCATATTGCTGCTTATGTTGGTATAATTGTGGCCTTGGGATATTAAATGCTCGGCAAAAGATGATGTTTGGTGGGCTGTTGATGCTTTTGGAATATGCTCTTTGAATCTTTTTGTAAAGGAACGTGCTGTTTGGCCGATGTAATATTTCGTACAATCGGTACAATTGATCTTGTAAACGCCAGATTTATCAAAAGATTGCGTCATCGTGGGGCTGCGTTCCTTTAACAATGAACCAAGCTTGTTTTCTGTTCTAAAGGAAACAGTGATTTTGTTTTTAGCCATGAGATTTTTGTATTTATTGCTCATAAAGGTGCCAAATTTTGCAGAGATGAAATTGTTCTGTTTATTATTAGTTCCTGTTTTATTTTTATGTTTGTAGATGAGTTTATCCACAATACTACTTGGATAACCATTTGATACGGCTATATGTTTTATTGTAATTACTTCTTCGTTGTAGTCCTGTTCATTCATTGGAATTGTGAGCAATCGGTGTATGAAACTATTATATGCAGCTAATTTGTGTGAATACGGGTGATGGGATTCTGAGTGAATGGTCTGGTCAGTGCATGTTGGTTTCCTGAATATTTTAAACTCAAATTTATTTTGATGCTTTTTTATGGTGAGGTCCAGAAAATTCAAACAATTATTGTTTTCTTCCTCCAATGTAAACTTCATGTTGCTGTGAATGCCACATAAGTATGCGTTGAGTAACGACAACTGTCTACTGTTTCCGTTGAACAAAACAATAGTGTCGTCTACATATCTGAAATAAAACAGGATCTTTTCTTTGTAGCGGTTGGAATCAGAAAATAAATGTTTATTTTCCAGGTTGTTGAGAAAAATCTCTGCTAAAATACTGGAGAGGGGGGAACCCATTGCCAGCCCTTCTTTCTGGGAATAATAGTCATTGTTGAATCTGAAGTAATTCTGATTTAGTACTAATCTTGTGAGTGAAACTAACTCATTTACCGACTCTCTGGATAAACTTGAGTTTTTAATGAGGTTTTGGTGTAAGAGAGCTATTGTTTCTTGAACGGGGACGTTGGTGTACAAATTTACGATGTCAAATGATGCCAATTTGTGGTTATCTTTAACAGCATGGTTCTTAATTCTATCAACAAGTTCTAGGCTATTTTTTATACTATGACTATTTTCCAATAAAATTTGGTCCTTTATTATTTTATCAAGCTTCTTGGCTATTTTGTAGGCTGGACTTGGCATAAAATTTACTAAGGGTCTGATGGGGACGTCAGGCTTATGGATCTTGGGGAGGCCTCTGAGTATAGGGGCTTGTGGATTAGTTACCTTCAGTGAGGTGATTTCACTTTTTGATAAAAGGTTTTTACTTTCTGAAATGGCTTTATTTATCAATTTGCTGTAATTTAAAGTCGGATCTTTATTTAAAGCATGTATTTTGTTAACGTTCAAAAACGTTGTTACCTTATTTACATAATCGTTTTTGTACATTATCACAATTGAGTTGCCCTTATCAGCAACCCCCTTTGCCCTTATCAGCCTTATTGCCATCGAGACCATAAATGTCTCGTATTCGTGTTTGTGTCGTGTTTAAATGTTTATTTATTATTTTCGTGTAAATATGACGCTCTTCGTATGAAGAAAGAAAACTGTCCTTGTACAGCCTGATGATGGTGTCACACAGACACCGAAACTAGTTGTGTCAACAACAAAATTGGATTGCTTAATAGCAGGTATTTAAACCTTTTATAATATTATTTGGCAATCCGGAGGCTAACAACTACAATGAAGTTATCAGCTGAGCAAGCAAAAATAGCCTTTCAGTACAAGGACATAAAACTAAAACTTTGCAAAACGATTGAAAACATAAAGTTTAATAAAACATGCCTACAAAATAATTTGGTTCCAAAATACATAAATGTAAAAGTTAGTGGTAAATCAAAAGCCGCCTTAAGAGCTAAAAAGTCTGCTGAAACCATTTGGATTAAAAATGAAATAAAACATCTTTACTTTAAGAAAGATGCTTTAAACAAGCTACTATTTAAGAAACATTTAGAGTTAACGAACAATTTACACATAACTCAACAAAACAATGTTTTGCTTGAAATCGAACTACAGGTTAGCAGAAAGATCAGTTTCAAAAAGAAAACTCAAAATAAAAAAGTTAAAAGTCTAATGGAATCTCAACATAAAGAAGAAATTATTAAATGCTCTCACACATTTTTTAAAAGAGTTGTAAATAACACAAAAATTGAATTTGAAAATGAGGAGTTAAATTTACTGTGCAAAGGCTTAAATTTTAATTTTCCTAACAGCAAGAAAAATAGTCTGTTTACTGAGTTACTAGACACTGAAGCTTCAATTAAACAAATAAAAAATAATGAAGTACGTGAAGCTGCTCGAATCATTATGAGTGATAAAGCTAGATGTATCGTAAAAAATCCTCCACGTACAAGAAAACATTTGAAGTTCAACGCCATGAGACATGTCCTAACGAGCGTCAAGCATAAGCTTGCCGACCACAACGCTCTTATCACCAAAGCTGATAAGGGCAACTCAATTGTGATAATGTACAAAAACGATTATGTAAATAAGGTAACAACGTTTTTGAACGTTAACAAAATACATGCTTTAAATAAAGATCCGACTTTAAATTACAGCAAATTGATAAATAAAGCCATTTCAGAAAGTAAAAACCTTTTATCAAAAAGTGAAATCACCTCACTGAAGGTAACTAATCCACAAGCCCCTATACTCAGAGGCCTCCCCAAGATCCATAAGCCTGACGTCCCCATCAGACCCTTAGTAAATTTTATGCCAAGTCCAGCCTACAAAATAGCCAAGAAGCTTGATAAAATAATAAAGGACCAAATTTTATTGGAAAATAGTCATAGTATAAAAAATAGCCTAGAACTTGTTGATAGAATTAAGAACCATGCTGTTAAAGATAACCACAAATTGGCATCATTTGACATCGTAAATTTGTACACCAACGTCCCCGTTCAAGAAACAATAGCTCTCTTACACCAAAACCTCATTAAAAACTCAAGTTTATCCAGAGAGTCGGTAAATGAGTTAGTTTCACTCACAAGATTAGTACTAAATCAGAATTACTTCAGATTCAACAATGACTATTATTCCCAGAAAGAAGGGCTGGCAATGGGTTCCCCCCTCTCCAGTATTTTAGCAGAGATTTTTCTCAACAACCTGGAAAATAAACATTTATTTTCTGATTCCAACCGCTACAAAGAAAAGATCCTGTTTTATTTCAGATATGTAGACGACACTATTGTTTTGTTCAACGGAAACAGTAGACAGTTGTCGTTACTCAACGCATACTTATGTGGCATTCACAGCAACATGAAGTTTACATTGGAGGAAGAAAACAATAATTGTTTGAATTTTCTGGACCTCACCATAAAAAAGCATCAAAATAAATTTGAGTTTAAAATATTCAGGAAACCAACATGCACTGACCAGACCATTCACTCAGAATCCCATCACCCGTATTCACACAAATTAGCTGCATATAATAGTTTCATACACCGATTGCTCACAATTCCAATGAATGAACAGGACTACAACGAAGAAGTAATTACAATAAAACATATAGCCGTATCAAATGGTTATCCAAGTAGTATTGTGGATAAACTCATCTACAAACATAAAAATAAAACAGGAACTAATAATAAACAGAACAATTTCATCTCTGCAAAATTTGGCACCTTTATGAGCAATAAATACAAAAATCTCATGGCTAAAAACAAAATCACTGTTTCCTTTAGAACAGAAAACAAGCTTGGTTCATTGTTAAAGGAACGCAGCCCCACGATGACGCAATCTTTTGATAAATCTGGCGTTTACAAGATCAATTGTACCGATTGTACGAAATATTACATCGGCCAAACAGCACGTTCCTTTACAAAAAGATTCAAAGAGCATATTCCAAAAGCATCAACAGCCCACCAAACATCATCTTTTGCCGAGCATTTAATATCCCAAGGCCACAATTATACCAACATAAGCAGCAATATGGATATTCTACATTTTTCTAAAGACAGATATAAAATTAACACATTGGAAGAGTTCGAGATATATAAGGCAGTAAAATCCGACCACCATAATGTACTAAATGACCAACAGTTTTTCTCGTCTAATTTTATGTATGACACCGCCATCGGTTTACTGGAGAGGGGAGGTGTGATTGAGTGATTGACAGGACGCAACCTGGGATGATAAGATAACGGACGTACACCACTGCACTGACCACCCGCAGTCTGGACTCAAACTCCGTCGGGTTAGCGTCGTCTGTTTTCTTAACTGATCAGTTACCATAAATGTCTCGTATTCGTGTTTGTGTCGTGTTTAAATGTTTATTTATTATTTTCGTGTAAATATGACGCTCTTCGTATGAAGAAAGAAAACTGTCCTTGTACAGCCTGATGATGGTGTCACACAGACACCGAAACTAGTTGTGTCAACAACAAAATTGGATTGCTTAATAGCAGGTATTTAAACCTTTTATAATGATAAAAATTGTCCGGTTGAAGAGATGTCATTTCCGCCGAGTGTGGTCCGGTTAAACTGATGTCCGGTTAAAAGGTGTCTGGATAAGAGGGAGTCTACTGTATTACCGTACTATTACTACATGACAGTACAGCATCCAAACTATAAAATATTCAAACCCAAGCGTAACACAATGTTCACTCTCACCCAAGCCTTGTTCGTGATGCCCGCAGTGTTGTTAAAGCCGCCAGTGACGTAGACACTTCCGTTGCAAGATGTAGCCGCGGCTCCCTCTAATGGCTCGGGGAGTGACGACACCTCCTCCCACTCGTTGGCCTCTACACTGTAGCGTTCCACCGTGTTCAGTGGGCCGTTGTCACCACGACCACCTGCGATGCGATAACATGTGACACATCACTTTGATGTGTTGATTACTTTGAGGAATGTGGAGTGAATCTACTATTTCTCATTGTTATAGTTTAACAAAATGAGTTTAAGCTCAATCTCACGATAAGACCCAGCTAATAACTGATCGGCGACCTCTTTTGACCTTACATTTGCATAGGACCTTTTGTGATGAACATATCATACAAAGCGGGAGGTGAGCCTGCAAAGTACTTGAGTTGAACTGTAGTGAAAAGATGTAGTTTTGGGCACCAGAGTCAAAATCACAAGATAGCTACCATGGATCCGTTGTCTGTCACGCCAACAACTGAGCCAACGACTCACCAATCAGGGAACAGTTATGAATTTAAAAATACCATGATAACCACGTAGCCTTTACCATATGTTTCCAGATCTCAGGGTAAAATGATACTGATTGGAATTTTGTTCATGTATTTAAATACAGTAGACTCCCTCTTATCCGGACTTCTCGGGACCGAGGCCCGGGATAAGGGGTTTACTGGTTAATCCGACATCCCCCAAAAACTCGTTAAAACAGACTATTTTCTGTGATATTCGACTTAAATTTAGGAGAGCATTGTATTTAGACATGTGATCACTGGTCTCAAATCTTTCCCACGAGAACAGTTGTTTCAGTAGTGTACCGCCCACATCCTGCCGATCTAGTCCGGTTAAACCAATGTGCTGATAAAAAATTGCCCGGTTAAAGAGATGTAATTTCCGTCAAATGTAGTCCGGTTAAACCAATGTCCGGTTAAAAGGTGTCCGGATAAGAGGGAGTTTATTACTAAATACATATGAATATTTGGGAGTAGTAAAAAATAAAAATAAATTGGCATGTCCATCAGGATAAATAAACTAGGCCTATTTAAAGTTAAGAATACAATAAAAAAATCAGCAACGATTCTAACAAAATAGAGCTCTTTTATTTGATCAATTATTCTCCAGTAATTTCAGTCATTCATAAAATATTTAATTTTCAAGACCATAATCATAGTATAAATTATCAAAAGTTTACTAAGAAATATTTTTAAAACTTACCAATTATGTAGACGTACTCATCAGTGTAGGTGGACGCTGCGTAGATCCGGGGGGATTTGAGAGGGGGGATGACTCGGAATCCATGGGACTGAAATCATCACATGTATCCCAATTATAAATCTCATTAACAAAACTCGGTACTAAATAATCACTTTACATAACAGGCAAAAATTACAAAACGTTTGTGTCCTGTAATGTTGTAATTTAAAGGATTTTGAGACCGAATAAACTCAATTTAATTCTATGAGGACCACAAGGGTGAACAGAGTGTTGGATGTGAATTTCCCTTTGTTAAACAGGATTATACTCAGAAGTGGAAGGAACTTTTGAAACCTCTGTAGGCCTTGAGTCTTTTCCATTGATTAGGGTTCAATGTCATTTGCCAAATTTGATTAATTCAATCATGTTCTATAAGAAAATTTCCTATACAGGGAATAAGCTAGAAGGGAATATTTTATAAAGGGAATAATTTGTATAGGGTAAAAATGTTGTCTCTCAAAACATAAAATTTTCCAATTTCTCTATCAACAATTTAAAAGAGTTAAACAAATTTGAAGATATTGAAGTGTTTTTTGTGCGGTAATTGGTTACAAAGAAAATCCAAAAAGATTTAAATTTAAAATTCCCACGTTATTCTTACGGAGAAATAATCTTTTGTAGTTTGCATGTTAATATATGTTGATCAAACTTGGACAATTGTTTTTATTTTATAATACTGTAAGCTAAGAATAGTTTACTAACAAACAAACATTACCCTCCCTGCAGTGAACCTAGGTTCTCGTAAAATAGAATTTTATTTAAATCAATTTAAGTGACAATCAAATATTAGGCAAATGGAAATACGCTTAGTCTGCAGGTTTGTTGTGGCGGGGGTATTTTAAGAAACAATTGGTAACAAGTCGGTACATTAGTATTGACACGAATGACACCTACTACCTACCTGTCCTGCATGAGGCACCATACATCTCCATGTTGAGTCTGGCACAGCCAAGGCTTCAACATTGGCTATGGACGCTCCACCCGTCAACCCTCCACAGGACAGTATTACCTAACATAAATAGCAAATAATTGGTCATTCAGTTGATAAAAGATGTACAGGGTACAGAATCCTAATAGACGACTTTGATAGTCATGAATGATCTGTGTAGAAACGCAATTGTAGAAGAGAACATGTAATGTTTGTGTTTGTACCACAGTTTACAACAACATATTTGTTACATTTTTTGTTGCTAACAATAGTTTTGACGTAAACTCTGCAGTAAAGTGAACTTCTGTAAGAACATGTTTCAGTTTTTTTGTGAAAAAATGTTATCTTCAAAACACAAAACAACTGTTGAAAAAAATGCAAAACACCGTGTAAAGGTGGCTCTTGTATTAATATAGTTCCTAATAAGTATATTTGGGGAGCGAGCTGGCGTAGTGGTTAGAGTGCGGGACTTCAGTCCCTGAGGTCGCGGGTTCGATCCCCACCAAGTCACCAATGGATTTTATCTAAGTGATAATGCTGCAACCCCTAGGTTTAGCCTGAAGTAATGTGAAAGACAATCCCAGGCTCGTGCCTAGCGTACAAGGGCAAAAAAATATGTATATTTGGTAAACTGTATGGATAAAATTTAATATTGGGTAATATATATATATATGTTAAAATAACCCCTAAACCGGTAAACCATAGACATTAAAACTTGTAGTTAACATTCCACATTTACTTTCCATTCGGTTTTTGACATTTTAAAAGGGTTAAAGATGACAAAGAAATTTTAAGTTTTTTTAAAAGCCTATCCTTGGAGAATTTTTATATAGCCTACTACGTATATATAGATGCTATATAGTACTAGTATATTGTCTGAACTCCTTTGACAAGCAAATGGACTTAAATACATTTCTTCACACTAGGGAAAAAGAAACAAGGCAAATAGTGATTAAGAATAATTACTACTTTTGATGACTAGCTGTGTCTCTATAATGACTAGCTATGACCATATGATGACCTGAGTGACCTTGGATTTTGATTTGATAGCACAAATCATAACAAATGACCGAAACACAACAAGAGGAAGACATATTCTTGATTGTAATGATTGTTATCCTTAACAAAGTACAGTGTATTGGCCTCCTCCATTTGTGTCTAATCTCGTGGGATATTTTCCCCTATATGGGATAATTTAATTTAAGAAGTACGAAATCAAGTTTCAAAGTTGCATCAATACCTAACTGTATTAATAATTAAACAACTTGTGATTCAGCTTATATTGTTAAAAAAGAAAATATGAAGTAAAAGAAAGGGGTTTTTTTAAGATGCTATCCTATTTAATGTATACTGTATTTGAATGTAAACAACGGTGTTACCGTTGAAAGAATAAATAAATAAATATATGCTGGGATAAAATGGGATTTCTAAGGGAGAGGAGGGATTTTTATTTATTGTGGGATATTTTGTGTTGGGGGAACACTGCGCCGCTTTCAGCTTTGCGGCAGAGTGCAGACGACGGCAATTAAATTCAGTGACTTGGCTGTTGTGTTGTTGTTTACCTTGTGTTGTTTACCAAGGAAGTACGCCTGTGTGCTGTGCACTTGATTCAATTGTTATTCGTTGTCACGTTGAGCCTGTTGTTACTTTGTAGTTACTCTCTATTTCAAAATTCTTCAATTCACATAGGTTGAAATGGTTGCCCCAGAAAAACTTCTAACACTAGAAAACCCGGTGTTTTCAGCTTACCTATTTTACAGCTGTGTTTTGGCGCTGAAAATGCTTTCAATGAGTCTACTCACGGCAAAAGCTAGGTTTAAAAAGATGGTAAGATTCGTTTCGTATTATAAACTAATTTGGCAGCAATGAATTAACAAATAAATAGCTATATTTTAAGTTTAAAATTTATTAATCGGACAAAGTTCACGTTGTTATACTTGGTCAATTACAGAAAAAAAATAATTTTACTTTATTTCTTCAGCAAGTTTATTATTATTATGTGATTAGTTTCAAAAAAAAGTTATAAATAACAAAAACACCCAAAAACATTTTCATATCATGATTTGGTTAAACGTTGTTAAACAAAACACTCGAAGGTTAAGGTTATGTCAATGTCATCAGCTGATAAAAATGTTTATTATTAGAAAAAATACAGCTGTGAGTTTAACTCCTTTAAGAGCCAAAAATATTTCCCCTTGATTTGGGGTGATAGAGTAGGCCTAACAAAGAAAAACACATTTAAATGCATTAAATTATATGCTGCATAAGTTATTTGTAATTTTTGGATGGAATCAAATGATTTTAAGTCAGAAGAAAATTATATTTTTTGCAACAAAGTTGCTTACGCTGAATGTACATTTGTGGTACTTAAGGACTACTTGAGTGAATTTTGGTAAAAATCATAAGATAAAAACTGTTATTTAAACTTCCATAAGCCTAACTTCAAATACATTTGAAAAAGTAGCCTCACAATTTTAGCCTTAGGCTAAGCCGACTTCAGGTGGAATAAAAATTTCTGTTGCAAACACTGAAAAACTGTCTGCAACAGCGAAATGTTTTGTTAAATTAAATCTATTTAAATAAAATTTAGGTTTAACGAGTACCTGGGTTTGCTGCTACAAGAAAACTAATAAAGTGTGTTTTCTTTAGTAAAATATTAATAGCTTAGTACAAAATAAATAAATTTGCCAAGTTTGATCAAAATCTATCCATGAACAAGCAAATTAGGCTACAACATTTAACATAGTTCCATAAAAATAACATGGTAATATTTTAAATTTACAATTTTTGGAATTTTTTCTGTTTAGCCTACTAATAACCATACGAAAACACTTTTGTCATAGTATTGGCACCATTCAATTTGTACTTGATGTACAATATTATTACGAATCAAATACTTTAAGGGTATAGCATAGAGTACAAGGGCCTAGATATTTTAGGATTTTTTGAGAGGATAGCAGGCTTACCTGAATGGGAAAGAGTCCAAACTGGCACAGGAAACACAAAACAAAACTTTACACTATATACACAAAACATTAGAATATTTCACTGTCAGTGACAATGAAATATTCTAATGTTTTGTGTATATGAGTGAAAATTTAAAAACGTACGTTTTCAGGAAAAGCACTTTGCAAATTTTTTCCCCCTTTTTTCAAAACTTTTATTATTTTTTTTTTATTTCATTAACATTTGAAGTCCATGGTAACGCAATATCTTTGGTAGTTTCTTTTTAAAAGAGCATCTTTAGTGGAAAACACAAAATCCTGTCACGACCATAACGGACGTTTAAATGAATATTAAAAATAGTTAATATTATTTTTATAACTATGTTTTGCTATAAACTAATTTACTTTTATGACCATTTTACAATAAAAAGGTCACTGAGCTTTTGGTATATTTGGTCTTTCTAGAAAAAAATAAAAAAACTCAAAAAATTGAAAAAAAGCCAATAAAATCTTTTTAAGTTTGTATAACTCTGAAAAAACTTACCTGAGACCCGAAAAATCGTTATGTTTGTATAGAGGTGTGCTTCTTTTGTGTATAAAACATTGAAATATGACGATATTTTAATTTTTGAAATTTTTATGATAGAAATCATAAACGTGATGGTCAGGGACAAGCGGTACGGTCGTGAATTGTCTGGAATAATCTAAATCTTTCTAAACAATCCTTCAATTATCCTGTTAGTTATAATAAAAATATGTGTTTCAATTGAACTAAACTGTTCAATTTACAATTATATTAAATTTATTGTCACGACCAAACACACTATAATCCATAAGGCTGGATTGGTCGTGAAAAAACCCGCGATGGTCGTGAAACTTTGGTCGTGAAATTACGTGTTATTTGGCTCTGTTCTGGCGGTAGCCCTGCACCTAATGTTCGAGGATACAAAGTGGACTTCTAGGTTAATCTAGCAATTGAAATATCTTATAAAAAAAATTAACACCATGTCTACTTCATCGAATGACTACGTACGGTCATGGACACACCAAAATTACAAAAAACACAATCTTTCCTTTATTAATCTTGTAATTCCTCCTTTCAACTCGAAACGACCGGCACTACAATCCTGACGTACACCCCGAACTAGTCTCTAAAACCAACTGACTCCATCGACGCCAGGCTTGCCACTGTCGTGCTCATGGTAGTCAGTTTGTAATGACAATAAAATTATAATATGCTCCTTTTTTGTAAGTTTAATAACCATTGATGACATAAAAATATGGCTTTATATATTTCGGCATGAATAATTAGTCTAAAAACAGCGTGAAAGTTGGAAAATGTACCCTAGGGACACGTCATGGTCGTGAATTTCGAGACTTTAAAAATACAAAAAAAATACCTATAGAACCTATTTAAAACCAAATAAATGTGTGTAACATGTTGCCCCCGTCCCAAAAAATATTAAAACACATAATAATAAACTACAAATCCAGTATCTACGAAGTAAAAGGCCAGGGACATGAAAACGTACGTTTTTAAATTTTTACTCATATAGTGTTAAGTTTTGTTTTGTGTTTCCTGTGCCAGTTTGGAATCAAATACTTTATTATTTCAACACTATGATGAATTTTGTGTAGATGTAATATAAATCTTTTTTGACATTACTTCATCACATTATTAACTAAAAAAGCTTTTTACACTTGTTGCTTAAAATTGTCAACTTCGGTTCTCTTCTTACCCTACATTACATCTTTGAATTATTTTAAAACCCCTTCACTTTCAGTAATTTGCAGGATATCTTAAAAAGGATCCAACAAAGGATGAATACCTAAGCTAGTCATAATAATTTTTGGAAGCCCGTGTCTATTAAAATATTTAAAATATACGGACACTTTTGATAATAATATCACTACGGTATCCAAAAACTGCATAGGAAACCATCTGATCAACTAAGCGTTAACCATGCTTAAAACGATGGTTATTTTCAATCCATGGTTAACCATGGCCAAGATGGTTATTTTTATGATTTTGCATGGAATTGCTGTGAATAAAAAAAATATTTTGATTAACCTCAAATTGTTAGCAACATACATACCAGTTGATCTTACACAACTATTTACAGGTATTTGCAAACCCAGAAGATGCTGCTATGCAGCCGAAGAAGGGTAAAGTAAAGTTCGACGATCCAGATGTGGAGAGGGTACGAAGGTGAGAAAACTTGTATTTCCAGCAAGTGAAAAGTGTTGAATCTTTTTTATAACTTACACCACAGTTTGTATTAATTTTGCTCCTCTATTTAATAAATAAATACCTGATTGTCGCCTTGTGGTCCAAATTATTGTCCTAATGGATTATGTATATTTCGGCGTGAGCGCCATCATCAGATCCATATAAGAACTATTAAATAAACTTCCCTGAAGAGGTGCGTAAAAAGTTCACAACACAAAAAACACATAAACACAAAAATTAACATTAGTTTTCAATTTTTGCTACGCTTGCAATGGTACATGACCATTAACCATGCTCCTTTGATATGGAGGCGCGCTAGACGTTTGTCAAGACTCGACTGAAGATGGGAGTTGGTCGTGATCTGACTTTTGTTTTGGTGACAAATTAGTTACACAATCCACTAGGACAATACTTTGGACCACAAGGCGACAATCAGGTATTTGAATTTTTTATTTATTTGTCAATCAATTGGTCTGGAAACACCACAGGAAAAAAATAACACAATTTAATACTTTTTTTTGGAATGGAGGGAGATGTATTATTCAAACATTCACTTTAAAATTAAGAATTAATAGGCCTATATTGCTACCAACATGTCAGACTTGACCAACACACTCAATGAGACGGTTAAACTTTTGAGTAATTTTACAAAAAACCAGATAATTTTATACGTTCACACAGAGAAGTAAGGTACAGAGGAAACCTTCAATGATACACTTTAGTGGTGTCCAGCAGTAGTTGCTGGTGTCTAGGGTTAAGTCCAACACTACCCCCTTCTGCCTTTATGTAATACAATGCTCACAGTGGAGGAATACCATGTTGGAAGGCAGGCCCGGTCTGGCTCCTTTGGAGGCCCTCGGCTAGATAGTGATTTGAGGCCCCCCGCTAGAAATAAAACAAGGACCATGGGGTCCTCTCACGGCAACAATAGTTAGCCTATGTTTGCTGCATGCCGCAGGTGCATGAAATTTAAATGCTTTAAATTTTAATATTTTGGACGAAACTAATAATTGCAAATTTTCTATCAATTTAAAATCTTTGTATTTATAAATCTAACTCTAAGGTATCAATAAATTTCAATTTGATATAAAATTTGCTCGTATTTCTATTCACCTCTATAGCTGAAATAAAAATTTAAAGGCATATTCTTAAAACTGTTTAAGTATTCAATTCAAAAATAAGACCAAAACCTAGTTCTTTGAGTTTTTGCCATACACGGTAAAAAAGCATATCACGTACTACTTTTGATTTTTGAATACATCCATGAATTAAGCACATTTTTTACTGTTTATCACACATTTTGCTCCATAGTTGTACTCCAGCAACAAAGACAAACAGAAACAATCAAAAGTATTTTAAGTTAAGTTAAGTAAGGTGTCATTTTTGTAGGCTTGCAAAAATCTTCTGATGATTTCTGCCTACCTGTTTGCGATTTCTCATTTGTTAGCAGAATCTGAACTGAAACCAGCTAACCATACGTTAAAACTTTTTGACTTTAATTTGTTTTTATTCCGAGAGATTTCCGATCTTTTTTCTTTTACTTGTGCCACTTGGGCACACACGTTTCATTCATAAACTGAACGATTCAAGTGTTAGTACTCTTTCAAACAATACGTCATAATCCTCTACGTAGTAGGAATGACTGGAATAAAACCACACATCGGTGATTGAAACTACTGTAGTCGTAAGCACCATACTCGACTTTTTGGTGTTGAGGCTGACTGGTCGAATGAAATCAGTTGTAGATCAACTGACGTATATGAATTGGGAAGAGTTTTTAGGGATACATAAAATGTAATTGTATGTATTTTTGTTGATTACAAAAATATATAATTGCCAAATCACTGTGTTTTATATACTCATGATAGTTAAAGCCTATAATAAAAGCTGTTTTAAAAACCAGGTAACAAATATATAGGAATATTTGTTTTACTGAGTTAGAGACATTAGGCCTGAATAATGTAAAACTTGTCAGTCATGTAATCCTACTATAATATTATAAATGAGAAAGTTTGGATGTATGGATGTATGTTTGTGACAAGTGAACGCGAAAAATACTGGTCGGATTGGGCTGAAATTTGGCATGATGATAGCTCACATTCCCGATTAATATATAGGCATATTCTTATTTCAAAAATCCTTTCGGGCTCCGCCCCAGTGGCTCTAGAGTTTCCCATGTTAACCTTATGAGAAATGGAATTATTGAATCTTAACAGCTGTTTCAATTAAACAAGTTGGTTCTGTTCTATGATGTTCAATAGCATTAAGGTTACAAGGATTACCAACAGGGTGCAGCACTATTATTTCTTTTACATTTATGACAACAGCTAATTTGCAACCAAAAGGTGAGTGAGCGTAGCGAACGAACTTCAACCTGGAGGCGAGTTAGCGTAGCGAACGAGCTAACCTGAAGGCAAGTGAGCGCAGCGAACGAGCTCCAACCTAAAGGTGATTGAGCGTAGCGAACGAGCTCCAACCTAAAGGTGAGTGAGCGTAGCGAACAAACTTCAACCAGGACGTGATTGAGCCATGCGAACGAGATAATCCTGAAAATTAAGAAGTTAAACGGGGCAAAGCCCGCGGGTTACAGCTAGTAAACTTTAAATTTCAAAAATAATTGTAAATGTTGTCATTCCAAACGTTTATACCACGTAATAAATATTACGTTTTATACCAAAGTAATAAAATATTAATGCAAACTACAACAAACAATAAGAATCAAGCGCAAAAACTCCAACGTTTAAAGTAAAATTACAATCGATCATTTAACATGCAATGACAGAAACTACTGAAACCACTGCGCCGATTGAACGCCACCAGTTGTTGTAGTGGAATTCACTCAGTTTTTTATCCGACTGAAAAAGCAACTGGTTTTAAAAACAACCGATTGAATAGTCAATAGTTCTTTCCAGTCGGTTGTCTCATCACTACTAGTACAAACACTAAGCTGTCTGCTTGAGTCCAAATACTAGACTCAATTGCACAACACAGACGCGCCGGCACGGCAATATCGCGTCACTACCACCACTGACTAATGGCTATATAACACTAGTGTTATATAGTCAATGCTGCCACGTAGCGCTGGCCGCTGAGCTGATTCGAACGGTGCGGTGCGGTGAGATCGGAGAATAGACTATCTCTAGTACCAAGTGACTATCACTACTTAGAGGCTACCCTTAAACTGTAATACAATAATAAACATGTTATTGTTTATTAAAAATAGTTTTTGCAAGATTACGTCGCTGTGAAACAGTAAAACAAAATAATTTTTCATAATAAAAAAAAATTCTGACTTGATTTTTTGGCTTTTGGAGGCCCCCTTGCCGACCAGCCACCCTGGCCAGACCGGGCCTGTTGGAAGGAATTTCCGTAGAGGGTTCTGTTCACTGGTCTGACTCTTCCCTGCTCGTCACAACTATATTTTCCACATACACCATACTAGACCTGAAAGTGCATGGTTGGTTGTCCAAATGTCCCTTAAACAACCTCTGTACCTTACTTCTCTGTGACTTTAATAGTAACTTAACTGACATATCACACAACATGAAATGTGAATAAGTTGCAAAAACAATTGTCATAAAAAATGAGAGTCATGTTTATGGTTTGTTGGTGTAAGACCATTGGACTATGACTGGACATACAGGACTAGTATGACTTGGGATACTGAAAGAAGACTTCTCGTCCTTCTGTAAAATCTTAAGGTGGTTTAAATTTTGTTAGTTTCACGTCTGATTACTCAAGAGTTTGCTGTGACGCTTCTCTCTATTTCAGCAAAAAAAGGTTCAGTATCCAGCTGTAGAAAGCATAAATATTTTCTTTCACTACAGTGAAACTCTAAGTCTCTGTTAGAACATCTAATCCCAGATTTACTTTGAACAAACTTTCTAATTACTCACTAAGCATGACTTTCTTAATCCAAGATTACATAACATATTTATTTTGGTTACCAGTACTCAGGCTTTGAAGGTTTGTGTCTTGTACAAATTTGAAACTGTAAAACATTTTGCTGGCTGTATATCCCATTCTGAAAGATTATCAAATTTCCCAACCAATTGAAATGTGTCCTAGAAGATCATTAAATATGTTATTTGATTTTGCTAATTGAAATATTTTGTGTGGTTCCATATTTCCTGTGATTTTAAAATAGAGGCCAATAACGGTTTGATTTAACTGCTGTCAAAATATCGTACATCATAATTTTTATAAGAGTCTGTTGTAGTGCTATTAGCAGGTGAACAATATGGTTCTAATTGAATGATTGTGGTATAACATCTAAATATTATGTTGCTATAGCATCTCAATATTCTGTTGCAGGGCACATCTCAATGACCTCGAGAACATTCCAGTTTTCCTGATAGTGGCGTTGGTCTACCTCGCCACAGACCCAAACCCCGTCATCGCCATCAACATCTTCAGAGTTTTCACAGCCGCTCGGATCATCCACACCATCACCTACGCCATCGTGCCTCTGCCACAGCCTTCTAGAGCTCTGGCGTTTGGTGTCGGATTTATAGCAACAGGCTATATGGCCTTTCAGGGCTTGAGCAAATTAACCTTCTAATCTTTGTTGATTTTTGGGTAATATTTTTATTTTATGACAATATTATACATTTGATATTAAATCTGTTATGTGTAGTTTCAATGTTTTTCATTGTGATCTAATTTTTTTCTCTGGTTCTTTAGCTAGTTACAAAAAAAAAAAAAAAAAACATTTTGACCTCAGAAATAAACAATGGTAGTATGAAGCCTATGTAAAAAAGTAACAAATCATTTTCTTGGGATCTTTGAAATTCAGTTACAGAGATTGAATTGAATTGCAAAATAGAAGGAAATAATTGACAATTTGTTTAACAAACCTGATTGCAAAATACTGTACAGGCGCAGAGAAGCTGTTGACAATATTTTGCTATAATGATTTTACTATCTAGACTAAAAACTACAATTAAAAACTTAGCATTTAGCCATTCTTTGGCGATACAATTTTTGCCTACATTAAATCCTAAACCATCAAATTATATGACTTTTTCTTTGGACCTGGAAGGTTTTTGTCACTTACCAGTAGGCCTACAGCTAAATTCAGTCTTAAACACTCAACTTGCCACTTAGACTGAGGAATCCAACACATATAAAAATAGGTTTTGTCTTTCTTCAGCCTCTATAAAGTTGTCAAAAAATTACTATTTTGAATCTTATGACCCATTATCACACCTAACATCATAATGAAAATAGTCTATTCTATAACATCTGTTGCATCTATGTCAAAATACATTCCCTGTCTTAAAGTTAGGCCAGCTTGGTGATTTTTAAATGTTAATAATAAATGTGTTAAAAAAACTGTATGTATATTACCAAAGGCGCTTGCTGGACGATTGTCTCCAATCTCGTGGTGGATTTATATAATTTGTAAGTTGTAAGTAGTTTAATCAACTTCTTTACATAGGACTGAAGACATACAAACTAGTAAACTACGTTAACGTCCATTGTCCCATCAAAATAAAAAAGATAATAGGCCTACCAGGTTTTCCAGATTCACAATTTCTAGAACAAAACTTGCCGCTCAAAATAAGCAAATTTACGTACATCTGCTAATACATTAAAGACCCTTCTGCAAATTGTGTGATAATTTCTTGCAATTGCAGCCACATTGGTGATCATACCTTTCAATCTAGGCAAAATTTAGAATAATTTTCCAAGATGCAGCCAAATTTTTTATGATTTCCTGGTTTCCTGGATTTCAAAATTTACCACAATTCCCGGGTTTCAGGTAGAATGGACACCCTGGTTAAGCTTTATATTTCATTTAGTCATCAAAGCATGTGTAGGTACCACGACCCTACTGACCTGCAACTGCTTGTGGTATCGGGTTCTGGTACGACTGGTCAGCACTATCCCTCTCTCTCGGACGTGTCTGGCTCGGTCCAACCACTTGTACGTCTGCTCTTCCAGCGAGGGTAGCTGGTAGAGGGAGCTCTCTGCCTGACCCAGGTCCAGGTTGTAGAGGTCGAGCTGGTCCATCAACACTGGCAGGTGACATCCCCTGGAGTCCAGGTCATGCTTGATCCATGTACAGAGCCTCTGGGACATAAACGAACGGTCCATCAGGGACAGAAACTCCACAATCAACTGTTATCGGTCAAATTTGGGATTTTGGCAGCCAAATTACTAAGTTTCGTCTGAAAAAGCCTTGATTGCACTTGAGGGTAGTGGCAATACTGTTAAAACATAGCAAAAGGCTATTACTGTAGTGTATCAGGATTCAGTACTACCAAACTTGTTGCAAATAAAAATATACATTAAAGATTCGAGTAAAAATTTTTTAACATTAATACTAGTTTTTAGAAAAACCACAATACTGCATTATTTTAGAACCAGTTCAGTCAAATGGGAGTAATAACTGTGAACTTAAACTAGCTTAAATGTCATGGCAAGCATGATTTAGGATGGACTAAAAATCTATTTATATCTAAAACCGTCGTTCTAAGGATTGTCAGTAAAGTTACTTAAATTTTCAATGTTAAGAATATCCGCCAGCTTTTTACACATTATGTAAACTTCAACCTGCAATAGTATACCTATATTTTAAAATCTACAATTCAATTTATAATTTTAAATCTCACAATAAAGTTGTGAGCGTCCCCTCGGGTCGCGTCAAAATCTTGGACGTCTTCCGCAAGCGCGAAGGAATCCTAAACATATACCTCCATCGGTTAGCTTTCACTACCCTCTCCCGTGATTGTCATGTAATAATGATTTTTGATTGGGCAATCTTTTTGGCGAATACAAGAATAAAGGCTTGGGTTGAAAAACAAACTCCCTAAAAGATTATGGGTGAAATTCATTTTTCAAGAGAGAAAATAATTCCTTTGTGACCCCCTCTCAGGCAAATGTCCCTGGCAACCTCTTTGTCCCCCATTGTGGAAGCACAGATTTAAACTACAAATCTAAATAATTGGCAATATAAATAATTACGCAGGAATTTCTCAGCCCAAGCTTCATTACGTCAAGGTCTCTGTACTTACATTAAGTAAGCCGTTTTCACTATAAACATTGAGCATCTTGTTATCCAAACATGACTGGAGCATTTTAAATGGCATGTCTAAAAACTCATCCAGTTCCATAAGTCTACTGAAGTTAGCACAAGCGAACTTGATTGCTTCTGTCGCCACATCTAGATATCTGCAACAGTGAATTGTTTATCAGCACTACTTCAACATATAAATCTAGAAAACCTCTAGTATCACTTTCTACAGTCAAATTCAATTATTATAGAATCCACACTCCTATACCACACACGCCTACACTCCATAGGAATATACGAATACTTCGGATTAAGCAAGATGTTTACTAAAATACACATAATTATGAAATACACAAAGTTTAAGATCGCCTATTGGCCTACTACAAAAAGTCTATCTTGCCCAGCCGCTTGAACCCTACAGAATACATCGACGAGGTACAGTTAACTGTCGTCGCTTGACAAAAACTGACAACAGCTGGAAAAAAATTCAAAAATATTTCTTTTTCTGTTTTGGATTACCAAAGTTCGGATTAACGTGACTCCACTGTACTTACAAATAAGGATCACTGTCTATTATTAACTTGTTTTTTATACCAAACTCTGAAAAAATATTTAATCATACCCTAAATGGAATTCTAACAAGACTGAAGAAATATTCTTACCCGTGCATATGACAAAGTGTGTAAACACTGACACAGTTATAAACTGTTATTGAGTGACGCAGAAACGTTATGCAGGCAGCGTGTAAACTCGATACACCTAAGAGACTTGCCACGTTGACTACTTCAAATATGTTTTCTTCTGTCAGCTGAAACAAGTTAAAATATTTGACTTGTGAATGTGATGAGAATATGAGTTTCATAGAGGTCTAGTCCTCATTATACATTAAGAATACACGGTGTCATCCTCTCCTTCCCACTTGTGAAGTAAAATTGTGTAAAGCAATTTTATTAATTTGAAACAACAAAACACAACTAATCTGAAGGAATGCTATACAGGAAACTGAATATTTTAAAACTGCATCCTGGGCTAGTTTTAAATATTTGCAGTAGGCCTACTAATATTTTGCCCACCGTTTTATTTATTATTGCCGTGATGATTAGAAGTGGGAGTATCAGGTTGCTTGATCATGTATAAGAGAGGAGGATGCAATGATAAGAAGTGTGTGGAGATGTCGACCAAAAGGAAGGCGCCCACCAGGAAGACCTGGAGAAGGAGGGACCATGTGGCTGGAGATGTGGTTATGGTGGACAGAGGAGACTGGAGGCAACAAATATGTAGCAATTTATTATGTAGCAAATGACGAACCCTATTGCACTGTAAAATGTTTAAAGGGTAATAAAGATTCTTATTCTAACTTGTCTGTGAGGCTGAAAATCAACTTGGATTTGAGTGGCCATAAGAGTAAGAGTAAGAACAATTTTATTTTAGAAGGGGGTATACACAAAATTGTAAGGTACGTGCTGGGACCATTAATAATGGGGATTACCGGTATCTATCCTAACTTAATATGGTTAATTCAATATGGTGATAATTTGCTGGGACTTAGGCTCCTCTTACAACATCTTATACATTCCTTTCTCAGTCATTAGTATTTTATCACAGGTGTCCGTACCACTTAAACTACCTACCTTTGGGTGTAAGCATCTAAGTGAATCTATATAATCTTAGGGTATTGCAATGAACCACCAGTGTCTATAAATAAAAGGGAGAAATATATTACAACTGTCTACCCACACTGGAGCTATGACAACTGATTTGTGGGATCTTTTGTACATGATTACTCAAATGAATCATGATAAATTGATTGGTCTATAGCTATTTCATTTTTTTTGTTTTATGCATTAACTTGAGAACATTCCAATGATAAAAATATTTAACTAAAAATCCTCTGGTATAAAAAAAACTAGGTCACATAAACCATTATGTTTATAATATAGCCTACTTTTTTGTAAGAATTTACTGCCAAATTGATTTCAGCTTGTGTACCGCTCATGTTGAGATGAGTATTATAAAATTAGAATTGACTTTCTATTATTTTACCTACCATAATTGCTGATGTATAAAAAAACTTGATAACTGACTCCATGGCCTTATAATCCACATCATATATTGTTATCTCTCGCTGACCTGTCTCTCTTAGTCCAGCACAAAACATACCCCTGGAAGAAAATACCAATTTTTAACTGATATATCGTTATAATCTTTACATGATTTCTGTTTGTGGGCACTACAGTAAAATCCCTCATCTCCGGCCTTTGTGGGATCGAGTCCCAGGCCAGATAACATTTGGGCCGGATAAACCAACCTATTATAAAAACGATAATTTGTATCTAATAAGAACTTGTGATTGGTTAACCCTCCGAGTGTCCATAGTTTAGGCCTTAATGTCCACCTATTTTTGGCCCCTTTGCAAGGTTTTATTAAAACGGATCTGAGAAGCTTAAAACAATGTTAATTCTAATGTTCTATATACCATTTTGTTTGGAAAATCATGGGCTTCAATATTATATATAAAACATAAGGAACATTTTTTCAAAAAAAAAAATTTTTAGGTAAAAAAAAATATAATTTCGAAAATTTTCAAAAAAAAAATAAGTTCGCGCTCAATGAAATTGTATAAATTATAGGCCTATAAATATTTGAAAATAGCCACTTTGTTCTAAATTTAATGAGGATTACAAATATATAATCATATAGCGAGGTAAGTTATCAAATAAATAAGTTATGAGCGAAAAACGGATTTCATTACATAGCGTTTAGCTAAGAATGCATAGCCTAACCATAGCTAGGAATCTGGCTGATAATTTACATCAATATCACTACCTACTTCTTCAGGATCATCAACCAGCACTTCAAAACCACTTAAATCTTCTTATAATGCACCACGTATATCACTACTTTTGATTTTTAACACTAAAACAATGATAAACGTAATAAAACACATCAGTCATCGGTCCGGGGGAACCTAGCTGTTTACAAATACACGCACGTCAGCTGTCTGCTACAATATTTTCGGAACTAAAATGAATAGCGCTTAGAGATAGACCTCTTTAGAAAGCTTAGAATATTACGGAAAGAACGATACCTAACTCGATCCAGTTCAATCCGATTCAGTCAGTCATAGAGCCTTCGCCGTAAACGATGTTTGTGCGTCTTAAAAGCGACGCGTGACCCTACACAAAGTGTGTTGTGCGTCGTTTTTATGACGCGTGACACTCGGAGGGTTAAAAGTAGTGTTTAGGACTCATTTGGAGTCTACTAGCTCAACTAAGTAGTGAATCCGCTAAAAACGTATAGGCCTATGACCAGGAATTTAGATAACTTAACCTGTGAGAACGCTCAAATCATGGAGACTACATGGTACAACTGTGGGAAATATTTTTAGTATTGATTCCACGAAGTGACCGGATAAACTGAGGACCAGAAATTGCAAAGCCGGATATTAGGGATTCTACTGTACTGACATGTTTTACGTTTTTCATCAGGGGTCCAAACACCAGTCTTGAAACAATCTAATGTTGATGATTATTAGAACATCATTAATTTATAGCTATTGATAAATGACATCTGTGTTTTTAAAGTATGAGCTTAACTCTAAGCAATGAAATACACAAATTAAAAATGCAGACAATTTTGGCAATGTAATTATAAAGGCCTACTTTTATTGAACCTCATAATCTAGAGGTTTAAATTATTTCAAAACAATCTTTCGGTAGATGAAACATTTGTGAGGATTAACAAATTTCCTGATTTGAGGTGAGGTACTAAAGATTCCACAACTTCCACCTTAAGTTGTATTTTAATTTGGGCGGACCTCTTCCATCACACTTTGTCTCTATCTGGGGAACTTGCTCATGAGTTGTACATAAAGCTCCAGAGAAAAAATCAAACCCTCAATTTACTGGACGGAGAGACAGTTTCTAAGACCACTAAGTTACTTAATTCAATGATCAGACCTATTGGTCTAAATCTATCAATGTAGAAAAGATTATTGTTGCTAGTGAGCAACGCTCAATTAATTGTAGACTAGTGGTTATAAACTTGACTTCTATTTTGCGGCACATACATCAGGTATAAGTAATTTCAAGCTGTTTTTCTAAAGTTAAGCTAACATAAGATAGAAAGTTATGTCACTGACTATGAATTACATGCTGAACATTGATTCAGCACAACTAAAAAGCTACATAAGTTTATGTACAAGATTTTGTCTTTATAGCCTAATTAGTTCTAATTATTTTTTACTGTTACTGGTAATGTTAGAAGCTATTTAGGCAAAAGTAATTTACGTAGGATTTGTACGTTTTTTTATATTGCATGATGTTGTCTAGTTCTAAGTGGATGATAACTTAAACCGGCCTGGTGAGCTCAAAGGGTTAAGCCCTGTGGGTGTCCTTCCTACGCACCTACGTAAACCTACGCCTAGTTTGAATTAGGCTTAGGTGGGCCCAGAGTAGGCTATTGTGCATCAGCAAAATGAATAATTATAAGCTAGTTGGAATAATTTGATATGTAAGAAAAATAGGAAAAGATATACCTAAAATATAGAGATGCTGAAGCTAAAACTGCTTTGTGAGCTTCTATTTTGTTACCTTCTATGTCTAACAAGATATCACACAGTATAGAATTTTCATATAAATATGTTGCTCCTTCCATTATGGATTTAGATAACAATTTATCCTCATAGAGTAGATTGTCAACGATATCTGATGCCATAGTAAGTTAAAAGTCTGTGAATATTATGTAAGATTTTAAATTTAAATATCTATACCTACTAACTTCTACAATAATTAACCCTAGATCTGGCGGCGTCGTCTGCTAGCCGTGCACCTGTGAGATGGCAGAGGTTTTGGTCAACTTTGGTAGTGGCCTCATTAAACTGTTAATAACTCTGTTATATTGAATGGAAAACACAATAAATTATATATATTCTGATTCAGCACAAAACAATGAACAATTTAGTGAAAGTTATTTATTTTTAGCGAATTTCCCTATAGGGAAGTAGCTATTACCGTAGGTCTCATGGTAAGACTTAAGCCCGGGACCGATTTGCTTTTTCATTTTAATGTCCCCAGAGACCAAAAACACCATTCATTCAAATTTTTATATATGTATATATATATATATAGATATATATATATATATATATATAGATTTATATATATATATGTGTCCGTGAACACGATAACTTGAGTAATTTTTATCCGATTTTGATAAAATTTGGTTTGAAGGTGTAAGGCGGGATAAACTTGAATGAGTTCGCGATCCAGCATGATCAGACCATGGGAACAGGGTTTTATGGGGGGTTTTATGGGGTAAAAATTGGTTTTTCTCACTTCTTACCCTCAAAACACAAAATTTCCCAATTTTTCTCTAAACCTTCTTAAAGAGCTTAAAAAAACAAACAATTCAGTATATCAAAGTGTTTTTGTACGGTTAATGATTATGGAGAAAACTAAAAAAATGGTAAATTTAAAATTCCCATGTTATTCTTATGGAGAATATTGTAAAATGTTGTAGTTTGCTTGTTTATGGATATATTTTGATCAAACTTGGCAAATTTATTTATTTTATAGTAAGCTATCAATATTTTACTAAAAACACACTACTTTATTAGTTTCCTTGTAGCAGCAAACCTAGGTACTCGTTAAACCTAATGTTATTTAAATAGATCAATTAAAAATCAATTCGGCCAAATGGAAATTCGCTTAGACGGCAGGTTTGCTGCGGCGGGGGTATTTTACTCATAGTTGTCATAGTAACAAAGAGATAAGTTTTTTTTTTTTTTTACTTTGACAAATAAAATTTGAAATTTTATTGATTATAAGAAGTTTTACAATTTTTTTTTCTTATAAAGATATATTGGAAAAAGTTTGGCAGTTTAGTACTCTACATAGTAATATAAAGACTTTTGGAATAATTGTAAAAGGATTAGTAAAAAGTCAATAAATCTTTCAAAATGTGTTTTCACAAAAAAAACGCAAATAAAATTTTGAGTGATGTCAAAAATAGTAATAAATTCCAAGAGTCAATAAAAGTTGCATGTTTATACTCAAAAACCATAGGGCTTTCAATAAATATTTGTATTTTACTGATTATTGCAACTGAAAAAATTAAAAAACTCAAAATATAAACAACTTCTACATTTTTTATGAAAAATGTATAACATATTCGCATGAATGAAATGATTATAAAATCTTCAATACCTCATGTATGAAATTCTGAGATATAAATTTTGTTACTAATTTTATGTACTTTTAGAATATATATAGGGTTTTTTGCTAAACCTAAGTAATAAGTCTCCTATAGAGTGTTTTGTAGAAAGTCGCAACCGAAAAATTCATTTTCGAAAAAAGTGACAAGTCATTATAAAGTGATATGGTGAAAAAAACAAGTCATAAACTGGGTTGAAAAACATTGAAATATATATTTTATGACTAAATATGATTATTACAAATATTTACAAAGTAAGCCTACATTGTATTTGGCATACAAAATTAAAATCGGCTAAGCCTACGCAAAAAATTGGCTGCCAACCAAAAAATGAAATAGCCTTGGCCTAAATTAGAAATAAACTTATAATGAAGAAAGTATATTTACAAGCATGGTTATAGGCTATAAACTGTACAAACAAAAAATAAATAGGCCTAAATTATAAAAAAACTTTATTAATAAGTCGCCTAAAGAGTTTTGTACTGCACTGTCACAGCACTATAAAAAATCACCTGTTTTCAAAATTTCCCATACGCGTATATAGAAACGCCCGTAGATGTTTTATGTATGAAAAATAAAGCCCGTAATCTCATCTTCACAACAGTATAGGTTGTTAGTAATTTATTCCATCATAACACAAGAAAATATGTGTTTGAGTGTGCCAATGACAAATTCGGCTCAATGAGCCTCTGCCATCTCACACTACACTTGCCAAATTCAGCTCATTGAGCCTCTTGCCAGATGTAGGGTTAATTAAGTAAAATGTTTTCCTTTAGAATGTAAACAAATGTTGTGCTGTGCTGTGCTGATGTGCTCGTCTGCAAGTGCAAGTTTTGCTTCTTTTCACCACAGCTGCGTTTGTGGCTTACCAACATACAGTACCTAAAAAAACTATAGACGATGCCCACCACCAGTTTTGTTGCTGAATAAGATATCATTGCCAGATGGAATGCATTCTCCTTTATTGAAGTAAAATTATTTAAGAGATAACCTTTTCCATTTTTGTGACCGTTTACTAATATTAAATGTGGATATATCAGAGGATACCTAATATGTATGTGCCCAGAAATGTAATAAGTTTTCTTAATCCAAGATTTTAGCCGCTCATATTATATTGGGTTGGTTGGTAGTAACTGCTACAGCTGGACTGTCATGAGTTCAAGTCACGAGATTGTCAACTTTTGTGATCAAGTCTAACCAAATTGTCCAAATTATTACCTATCTTTATATGAGAAGTTACTAAAACATTGAATAATTACATAAACTCTTGTTTAAAAAGTTACTGTTGTGTATTTTGGTCAAAGTATGGCTTTACATTCAGCAGCTAAGGGTAAATTACTGGCAGTAATTGGAGATGAGGTATGCTAATTGTTAAGTATAACTATGTAGGCCTATCACTCAATTTTAAGATTGTAGACCTAGACCTAACGTTTAGTGAAACAAGGGTAGCCTATTAATTCCTTCACATCAGGCCTGCTTCACATAGCCTACATTTATACAGACTGGGACGGGTGGCGTCGTCCTGTAATCCAGCTACTGGGAGGTCACGAATTGTGGATATTTATAGGGATGCACTGTGGATGCGATGCTCCCTGGTGTGGATTAACGTCCGCACTAGTGAGTACTACGACTATCCGCAGTATTATCCTGATAATTAGACCAATTCGTAAATTACAAGGAAAAATGTGGTTCGGATTCCACTATAAACTGTAGGTCCCTTAGTTGCCATTAGCTGTATGGGCTATTAATTAACAGCTGTGTCTAAGGAACATGTCGGCCTTAGTCACTAACAAGACTACAAGATCGCGCCACTCATCCTACACTCATCCTTCACTCATATTTGGGTTAAAATACGCACATAGTGGCGTCCCCATCTTAAATAATTGAATTGAATTGAATTTGACTTAAGAACTTGTCACATTAAAATCTGTTTTTGTTTGTCTAATCCCGTCAGTATAATATTGAGTTTTGGGCTTTTGTTTAGACTACAACAGGTAGGGCCTGACTTACTTTTTCATATTTCATAGGTATATCGCTAAATAGTTCTCCATTTTTATCAACATTTTACAAGAACATTGGTTGTCAAATCATTAGGTCTATTAAAAAAGTTCAAAATAAGGTAGCAAGTTGCAAATAACCTAAGTATTTAAGTTAGTGTAGGTCCTAGGCCTAGGCTACACTCTTTGGGTAGACTTTCATATCTGTTGTCAAAAACAACCTAATGAAAATATTGATAGATCGATTATTCGATACATCGATTAATTTCATTCGACATAACTCATAGTTTGGTTAAGTAGTTACCGTAACTTAAATTTAGGTTAGGTCAATCGATATTTTCATTCGGTTGTTTCTGACAACAGATATGAAAGTCTATCCCATTCATTTTTGTTATTTTGAAATAGGCTACTCGGAATTAAAGATTCATTTGTGTTGACAACAGGTTGTTGAGGGCGTCTACAGCTAAATATCACTTAATAATGCATTACTTAGGCAATATCAGTTCCTTATAAAGTAGGTAGCTTATCAAGTAAGTTAACTCAAACTAACTTAATTTAGACCTGGCAGTAAACGTAAGATCAAGCGTCTCAAAACAATAAACTATTGTGATTAACACGTTCACTGCTGAAAAGCCTGAACAAGGTAACCTTAAATTGCAACAAGAGCTCCTGCATTAGGCCTAAAGGGTGTATAAGATCTGGGAGTCACCCGCTAGGGGTGCAAGTGGCGGGAACCAAAACGGATGCTGCTGAAATGAAGTATGGAACTGGCATAACAGGCTGAAATAGTTCTGGTGATCCCCGATACATGCGGAGCTCCCATCAGACTAATTTTTATAAAGCTATGCAGTGACTCTGATCGGAGCCGTCAGCCCTCGAACGTGTTAATCAGTCAGAAGAGGAAAACGCATAGCCAATAAGCCAGCTGCGTCACGTGATAGGTACAGAATCACTGCATTGCTCACTTATTATAAGTATAACCATAGCCTTGTAATGTTCAATTTTAAAACTTTTCTTATTTAATAGATGTGTAGGAGTCTCCATGCTCTACTATATTTAGTTTCCATTATTGAGCTTGAGATTAGGCCTATATAACATTTTTAATGTAAGACTTAATATTTCAGGATACTTGTGTTGGATTCCTACTCGGTGGTGTTGGTGAAATAAACAAAAATCGACAGCCCAACTTCATGGTGGTTGACAAGAGTAAGTATGCCTAGAGGGAGGTCTAAAGTTAATTTCAAATATTTAACGTTTTTAGTTAGGTACTGTGTCAAAGACCACTTTTTAAACATAACAATCATGTACTGTATTTTTATTTGAGGTATTATAATTTAATACTTTAATTTAATTGTGAGGCAAGTATTGATCCCAAATACACTGTTCATGAGGGCCTGCCATAAACTATGTTAGAATTTGTACAAAAATAAATGGTAAGATTGGAATTTATTGTAGGGAAATTGAATTTTCTCACCAACTTTTGTAAAATTGACATGGTCATGCTAATACTATAATTAATTATCATATTTGTTTATTTTAAAGCCCCCTTTCAATAATGAAACCAAAATCATTGATTAATGAGCAAACTTGATTAATATTCTTGATATTTTTTTCTGATCATTTATTTATGGACATTAGCCGTCTGGCGAGCTTCATTTGTCAGGTGCTGATAATTATACCGATGATGATGGATTTTGATGTTTGTTTCTGATGTTTTATTTTTGTCCGGCTTTATAATTTTAGGTCATAAACATCTTTGTAATTGTGGAAAAATTAAGAATGTATCTTTGCTAAAGAGAAAGTATTACAGAAAGCTTTTTAAATGTATTTTATCCAGGCAAGTCATCACCGTAGACTGGGTTATTCTCACCTTAAATGTCAGTAATGATATTTATGTTTAAAAGTTACTGTATGTTTTTAGACACAAGTGTCAGTGAAATTGAGGAAACGTTCAAGCGCTTCATCAAGCGGGATGATGTGGATATCATCTTGATTAACCAGAACGTAAGTACAGTATTCAATTTCAAGGCTACGTAAGTCATTATTTTAAAGATATCGTGTATTGTTTTGCCCAACTTGCTCTCCACTAAAAATAGTGGCGGATCCAGGGCCGAGCGAGCCTAACAATCCAGAGCTGGTCGGGTCGGTCGGTTAGTAACGCGAGGCCCTTAAGCTCAACCAGCCTACAAGCAAGCAAAGAGTAAAAGAGACATAGAAATCTAAAATAAAATAAATATTTATTTTCAGTCAATGTGTACTACCTACCTATAGGCCTACTGCCAACTGATCAAATATTCAGGCTGATGATTTAGTACTTTTTGATGATTTAGTGAGTCGGTGGATCAGTTGGTAGCGTCGCGGACTTCGGGCCCAAGGCAGTAGTGTCGTGGGTTCGGATCCTGGTCACTGCCGATAACATATTATCAGTACAGTTCACCTTTGTACTGTACCGGCTCACTTCTTGCTTTGCTGTAAACGATCCACGCACGGGCGCTTAGTCTATGTGGACGGGCAAATGCAAGGTTAAAAAAGGCCGCCAACCTCTTAAAAAAAAAAAAAAAAAAAAAAAAAAAAACTAGAAAGGTCGGTTTTATAAGTTAATCAAACACAGCTAACTCGTTAAAAAAGCCTCAAAAACACATTAGGGAATTTTTTTTTGCCTGACGGGTATTCCCCCAGGGGTTAGTACCTAGGGCCCCACCAAAGTCTAATGCCCAGGGCCCCCAAAAAGCCTGGATCCGCCGCCACTGACAAAAGAAAACCTGTAGGCCTACAATAAAGCATAATTTTCTTTCCTCCTTATGGAAGTGTTGTTTTACTGTTTTGTTTAAAGAACAACAGGAACAGGCATACATTTCAGATTAGCAGCAACTTCTCGTTAATTGATCTATATTATCTCTCGTTATTCATCTCTCATCTAAAAATTCTTTAAATGGTCTAGATGTAACATAGAGAAAGCTTTATCCAAGGTATTTAATATATCTTCACCAATTCTCCAGGATGTTGATCGTAGGTTTAAATGAAATTTAAACATCAATAATTGTCTGCAAGTCTCCTCCATTTTGATTTTTGATTCTAATCTCACGATCTTTTATTTGTTTTTTAATTTGGCTTCCTATTTCTTCTCTGGGTAAAAATGGCAAACAATGGGTATTTATCTATTAGAACAAACAATGTATACAAGTAGGTAATGCTATGTCCAATTTTCATCAGTAAAACTCACACTTCAGTTTTGTTTTTACGGAAAGTAAATAAAAGAAACGTCTTATAACACTTAAAACATATGTTTACACTTATACTGCTACTCACAAGACGGTAAATATACAAAACAGATGGTAAGTAGTGATCGATTTCGATTGGACACTCCAATCATCATCAGACCCAATAGGCGAATGACGCGAATGACAATGCTGATCAAGAAGTTATTTGTTTTGTTTTTGTGCAGGTGGCAGAACTGATCCGCCATTGTATTGATGCACACACTCAGCCGGTCCCCGCAGTGCTGGAAATCCCCTCCAAGGATCATCCTTATGATGCCAGCAAGGACTCCATTTTGCGCAGGGCTAAGGTATACTGTACATTTTTAACTTTGTCAAATTTTTGTCAGTCAATAAAAATGCGTGTTAGTCTAATTCAACAGTTTCAGAATACATTATTGTATCTTTATTCATTAAAACAACTCCCATGTACTCTGAAATGCAATTTTGTAGTGTACAATCGCCATAGTAACAGTGTCCACTGGTGGCACACATTTGAGTTTTTACCTGTACACAACAAGGGTTATAAAATCTTCAAAATCGAGAAAAAAGTGTTTGGAGCAAATGTGTTAATGTGATCAGTTAAGTTTCAGGTTTGGAATTTCACCAGTAAGCAATTAAAAATGATTTATTACTGAAGAAAGTAGTGTGTTGTATGGTAATTGTCTTTAGTGTTTGTGTAGTAGTAGGTTGATTTGGGCAAGTATCACTAGAAGTTTCTATTTTATTTTCCACAGCATATCAAGCATCATTAAAACCATTCATCTTACACTTTTTATAGAGTTAGTCTATTTTTTAGTTAGTCCTTTTTAGAACTCTTTGCCAGATTAAGGCTCTCGTAGTATACACGAGACGTATGACGTAGTTGTATAGGCTACTTTATATGGAATTAGCCGTAGATTGTGAAACCCCTTAAACTGCTTGGTTAGTAAAAGAATGAACCAAATCATTTATGTTTTGTGGTTTTTCAAAGTGATAATTTGATAATTTTTCATGTATAAAGCTGGGTTTTCCTAGGCGCGGAGTCGGCGAGCGGAGAGAGGAACGCGGAGAGCGGAATTGAAATTAACATGGCATTCCGCTCCGCTTCTAGGAAAACAGTAACATTAAATTGCCTAAGACAAGTGGAGTCCGCTCTCCGCGTTCCTCTCTCCGCTCACCGACTCCGCGCCTAGGAAAACCCGGCTTAAGCATTGAGACATTGAGATAAGTAGTAGGCCTACTTATACTACAGATAACCTTTTATAAAAGCAGGTAAAAAGGATGTATTCTGTCAATACGTTTGAATTATGGCTGAGGTTGCGTTGATATACATATGCTTCTCAGCTAGTAGGTTATGGTTATGTTCCTGTATGTGTTTATTTTTCTTCAAAAGTTATGTTTTTCTGTAGAATATAAATATGGATGACATGGACTGAAGAATCGTCGCTCGAAAAAATCATTTTTGTTAAATTGTGGGTAATGCATGAGAGTTTGGATTTGGTCTTTGACTTTGGAAGTGCCTCACTAATTCACATTCTAACACTTAACTTCCGTACAAACTTGTAGTTAAAATTTTGCAAGTGATGCCGAGTGGTGTTTTAAAAAATAATAAAAGTACTCAAGGTTTTGATCAGAGTATTTTTTGCCACATGGAAATTCTTGTCAGCACACTTTGTGGTTCTTACCTGAGCTGATTTTCTGTCTTATTTTAATGGTGAAATTTGTACAAAAATGTGTTAAACTTAATGCTCTAAACAAAATTTTAATCAAAAGTGTTTTTTTTTTTTAGAAGTTGTGTGTGTAGCTAGCCGGAAATTCCCCTCCAACCTCATCCGTATTCAGTAAACACAGTAAACCCCCTCTTAACCAACCCTAAAATGACCGGATAATTCAAAAAGTGGGTTAAAATGGGCAATCGCTAAAAAAATTAAGTGCTATTCAATTGGAATTATATAATCAATATTCTTAAGTATTGCTTGCGTTATTTACAAAATAAACTTCACTTATCTCCTTTTCTCGTATTGACGATAGAAAATTCACAAATAAACCCAAAACACGGTAAAGTCAAATACTTTCAGGGGAAGTAACATCCTGTAGAGTTTAGCGTATTGTTTCCATCACCGAGCGTGGAAGCGGAAGTGCCATGATTTCTAGAAAGCAGTAGTTAACAGAACTGCTCTTTAAACAAGGTTGGTTAAAACTAATATTTTACGTAATATTGTATTATTGTAATATTTTACGAGCGAGGGCGGATAATTCGATTATCAGTTAAGAGCGTGTCTAATGTTTATAAGTAACTTTGGTTTTAAGTGATGTTATGTTGGTATTTACTGTCTCAATTTTTTTATGAAGTTATGTGTAATCAATTTTATATTTGTTTGGTACGAAGACTATTATATATGAAAAATCAAGCTTAATAGTTGAAACTTTGCTAATATCCCATTTAACGAATCCTATTTCACGGTGGAAAAAACCTTTTAATCAAAACATAATATGTATTTGTTGGAAATGACTAATCATCCAAATTTTATATTGAATAAATTACAAGCTAGTTGTGTGTTTTTTGTGATTGTTTTACCTAGTGTGTCGAGAGTACGGCAGACAACTGCAAATTCAAACTATTTGGGATTGGCAACTGTTTGAAATCATCAAATTGCACAGATTAGCTATAAATGTAGTAAAATTGCTTAAAAAAATCCAAAAATGTATTTTTTATGGTAAATGACCATCCAATCACATAAAAACTGTGATCGTCTCATCTCCCACAATCCCAGCAACATTGTGATCAATCATCTACAGTAATGCTGTGATCATCTTATGTGATGGCAGAAATGACGTTTTTCTATATTAAGTAAGACTTTAGCAAAACTTCTGTTAATCTTATGGGGTTGCGTTCTTCTTATGACAAACATAAGAGAACGAAAGGATAGCTTTAAATTATAGACCCTTGGCCATAGGTTTTTGGCGGCCATTCCTAATTTCTTGGTATAAAATTGACGTGCAGTTCACATACTTTTTGGTCCACAAAATTCTTGTGCAATTCATGGTTTTCTCGGTTTTCCTGTGGCCTGAACACTAAATACAGAAACTTTTATGTTCAAATTTGCTGGAAGTTCAGATTAGCAGACTTTGGATTAAAGATTAAACCCAATGTATATATGGGTAATGTGTAATAATATATTTCACCGTTCATGTAAAAAAAGTTTTGAAAGGGATTATAAAATGTGTGTTTCATTCCAGTTATAATTCTGATTCCCTTACAAGAAGATACAAGATTTCATTGAAAAACTGTCAGTATAAATGCATAATATTTTTCAGTAGCCTGATACATATTTGTACAGTATTTCGAATGAAATTAAAAATATTGTTGAATTAAATAATTACCTTTTAAAGCAAACAAATAAAATAGGCTAACAAATTAGTGCTCTAAAAGAGTGCATAACATGGTTAATTAAAGATAGCTAAAATTCTAGCCCTAGTGCAACCTTTGCCCTGAAACTACAGTGTTGGTTGTGCAAACTGTTGTTGTTGTCTTTGTGGTACTTGTAATGTTTTAGTTCCTTCACCAGTCATGTTTTCCTGTTCATCAGTCATTCATGCATGACTAGCGTGTTGACAATTTAGCACATAACATGCAACATGTTTATCAGCAAGGTGCCGGCCTTGGATGGTGCTGGGCCCAGTGCAAACACTGACCCCCCCTTCCCCCTTACTACCAAAAAAGTAATGTCCCAACAATACTCAGAAAAATATTGATGTATGATATTACTCCCCTTTTGATTTTTTCATAATGAACATAAACTTCATAGACTTTGTAAACATTTTTAGTATTTTGCACCAAGCACCTAAAGTATAGGGCCCGCTGCACCTTTTACATGTGCCTAAGGATGGCTCTAGTGCCGACTAGTAATCTTCGAAGAGTTTTAAAGAGTTTGTACAAAATGTATTGTTACATACGATTTTTTATGCTAAATATTGTTTTCTTTTTACAGGGAATGTTCAACCCCGAAGACATGCATTAGACCTTCGATCGAACCATTCAGAAGAAATGGTTTTAATTGGTAATTGGAAGTGCTTATTATTTGTAAGAAACATGTATGTAAAGTGTTCAAACATATAGATAATTTTATTGTTTTATGTTCAGTATTAGTACTATTTCCTGCATCTTACAAATTGTTAAATTCTAAAAGTTATGTCGCTGAAAATATTTTGATTTTGTATATTTATTTGTAGATTAAATATATTGTAAAAGTGTTTTCCTATTTGGTAATGTTTTGATTGATTCAATGGTACTTATGTCAATAACACAAACCATTCCAGATGTTTGTATATTACCTTAGAGATTGTAAATGATGTTATTAAACTAATATAAACATTTACTCGTATTAAGTTTGTTATTTATTTATCTTTGGTTAAAGTGCTCAATTTGAATGAGGTCACACATGCACACTAATAGTCTCTCTACGACAAGAATAAAAGGTAACAGCAAATTGACACAAGGGGCAAGGCGGGGGTCTGGGAATCCGAAAAACTTTTAAAAGTTAAGTTTAAAATGACACGTCATTTTTATGCCGTTTTTAACTCTTTATTATTTTAACTCTTGTGGCCAATCTGCCGAACCAACCCTGCATGCGAGGTTTAAGGCCGGAACGGCGCAAAATTTTCTCCCACTCACTAAACCTCCATACCTTCCTAGATTTAAGGTTGGTGTAATGATGATCCCAAGGTCTTTTACCTTATTCACCTTCAAAAGTTTTGAGTCTTCAATACAGTAGTCAAAACCATGGTTTGTGATCCTACGACAAAAAGGACATGACTTGACACTTGGAAATATTAAGAGACATTGCGTTATTTTTACACCAGTTATGAGTTAACAATGCCATCAGTGGAGTTTTGGAGGTCAAGACAGTCATCCATGGATCCGATTCTTGAAAACACCTTGATATCATCTGAAAACATGAGGAGGTTTGTTGATATTGAGGTGGCAATATCATTAATAAATACATTGAATAGTAGAGGGCCCAAATGTGAACCTTGGGGGATACCTGGGGCCCATTTCATAATAAACTACAAGTTACAAGTTACAACTTGTAACTTGTAATTTCCATTAGATTAGCATTGGGCGATCAGCTGATTTACTAATAATATTAGTTTGTACTTTATTATGAAATGGGCCCCTGATAGTACAGTACTGCAAAAGGAAGAGGGAGAGCTCCATCAAATTTGACTAAAAGTTGTCTATCGTACAGGTAACTCTCAAGCCTTGTAAAAGATCATCTAATGTGCAAGACTGGTCTATATGTGGACAGATCAGCGGATGGCTAGGATCCTGATGGACAGCACCACAAGATGTTTTCTTCATCTGGTAAAAGACCCCATTTCTGCATGTTGTTGCATTTTGGTACCTCGACCCTGATTCGATTTAGGGTCTTACACACTGTGTAATTTAGGTCTCCACCAGGGGCCCATTTCATAATAAAGTACAAACTAATATTATTAGTAAATCAGCTGATTGCCCAATGCAAATCTTATGGAAATTACAAGTTACAAGTTGTAACTTGTAACTTGTAGTTTATTATGAAATGGGCCCCAGGAGCCAGTTACTCCCTGGCTGGTTTGGGAGGGTTAGTCAAAGTGGCCTCCCACCTTGCCATCCAGAAGAGCATTGCTTGAGAGTGATCCATCCAGAACTCATGTCCGTGATGGAAAAGCTCTTTCAGGACCGAAGCCGTCGCTCTACAGGTTGGTGGTCATGTAATGGGTGACGAGGGTCCGTCTTTTGCTTAGTACTTTCTACATTGGCAGCGACATCACGTCAGATTGATGGAGGGGCGATCCCTATGATAGGATAGAGTTTGTGCACTGGGTTGGTTTTAAACACCCTAGTTACAATCTGAGCCATGTCATTGACTGCAATGTCAACCTTATTTGCATGTGACGATGCATTCCATACTGGTGCAGCGTACTCCGCAGCCAACACACTGAGCACTAAAGCTGAGATTCTGAGGACATTAGGCATCCCAGCATCTGCTGGGGAGCTTCGCTGATGATATTATTCCTCACTGAGACTTTACCCCTTGTCGCAATACAGTGCGCTTTAAATGTCAGTGTGCGTTCCAGTATGAGACCAAGATATTTTGGGTTTAGGACAATTAATGCTTAAGTAGTCTCCCCCCCACGTCACATAACTCACGGCATTCTTCTCTATTGTTTAGGTGAAAGACACAAACTTGGGTCTTCAGGGTTCGGCTTGAGGTGATTTGCGTCATAGTACTGGAAAAGTTCATTTAGAGTCGTAGTCAGCTTCTGTTCCACCTTTTCAAAACTCCGGCCTTGTGCTGCCACTGCCGTATCATCGTCTTATACATACTGACGTGTAGCGTTTGGCAACGGTTGGTTGTTATAGTTATTAAGAGCTGGGACTAAGACGCTACCCTGAGGCAATCCATTTAGTTATGGCTCAATCACGTCCTGGTTGAAGTTTGTTCGCTACGCTCACTCACCTTTAGGTTGGAGCTCGTTCGCTACGCTCACTCACCTTTAGGTTGGAGCTCGTTCGCTACGCTCACTCACCTTTAGGTTGGAGCTCGTTCGCTGCGCTCACTTGCCTTCAGGATAGCTCGTTCGCTACGCTAACTCGCCTCCAGGTTGAAGTTCGTTCACTACGCTCACTCACCTTTTGGTTGCAAATTAGCTGTTGTCATAAATGTAAAAGAAATAATAGTGCTGCACCCTGTTGGTAATTTTTGTGACTTTAATGCTATTGAACATCACAGAACAGAACCAACTTGTTTAATTGAAACAGCTGTTAAGATTCAATAATTTCATTTCTCATAAGGTTAACATGGGAAACTCCAGAGCCACTGGGGCGGAGCCCGAAAGGATTTTTGAAATAAGAATATGCCTATATGTTAATCGGGAATGTGAGCTATCATCATGCCAAATTTCAGCCCAATCCGACCAGTATTTTTCGCGTTCACTTGTCACAAACATACATCCATACATCCATACATCCATCCATCCAAACTTTCTCATTTATAATATTAGTAGGATTTTGAGATAATTGACCTCCGACCTCCATGTTACAAACTGTAGGCTGGGGACTAATTCTTTACTCTAAAAAAATTTAAAAGTTAAATCTAAAAAATTTCAAAACTTTAATTTGGAAATTTTCAAAGAGAAAATCAAATTTTTAACATTTAGAATATTCATTTAATATTCTAAATTTGATGTTATTTGACTTTGATATTATGAAGATACAATAAATATTCAAAGTTTGACATTGTTTGACTTTGACATTTTGAACATTAAATTAATATCAAATAAATATCAAATTTTTGATTTGACATAGTTTGATATATTGAACGTTTATTTGATATCAAATAAATATTCTGTGCTATGTGGGTTGATTCCTCCATCTACACTTTTCTTGCCTTGAAGGGACACGAAAAACCGCCTGTTATGAAGAAAAGTGCCTATCATCGAAGTCAGCTGACAGTCCTTGGTAATGCTGTACACTTTTACCAAGCGTCTTCGATAGTTTATGGTATTGTAGGCGGCTGTTAAATCTACACAAGCAACACCCGTGATCTGTTTTCTCTCAAACCTATCCTCAATGTGTTGGGTCAGGTTTAAAACTTGGCTACAGCAAGACTTGCCTGATCGAAAGGCTGTCTGTTGTGGAATGACCATCTTTTGTTCCAGAAAATCGCCGATTCGATTGAGTGTATTAGACGTTCTAAGATATGTGTGGCAAGTGGTATAAGAGAGAAACAGGTTGAAAGTTCTTAGGATCTTTTCGATCTTTCCCAGGTTTGAGAAGTGCAGCCACACACGGGCTTTTCTCCATGCTTTTTTTTGTATATGCATCTTGCTTACACGCACATGTTAGTGAGGCTCAACAACCATTGCATGGCATTTTTACCTAGGTTCTTTTAGTTTTTCGACTCTGATATCGTCAATACTTGAAGCTCTATTAGTCCTTAAGCTGGAAATGACTGCAGTTAGCTCGGACATGGTGAATGGTTCCTCCAGGGGCCAATTTCATAATAAACTACAAAATATTAATAGTAAATCAGCTGATCACCCAATGCAAATCTTATGGAAATTACAAGTTACCGCACAGCGTACAACTTGTAATCAATTTATTATGGAACAAGCCCCAGGAAGCGATTCTCACTTGCCACATCACGCACAACAGACTCAAAACACCTTAGCTAGTGCGGGCTGAATCACTATAGGCCTGTAGTTTTTCAGGTCTCTTTTATCTCCAGATTTGAATATGGGCATGACAAACCCCTGCTTTAGGTTGGAATGAAATATGCCATCAGAGTGTTGAAGAGAATCGAAGATGGGGGTCAAGGACGGAAGCACAGTATTTCAGCGCTCTTGGTGGAATGAAGTCCGGGCCAACACTTTTATTTGAACCTATGGCCCACAGATTACAGGTTAAATAAAGCAATAGCATTCATTATACATCTCCCAAAGTGATGATGTCTCGTTTAAACAGGTTGGTTAATGTTTTTTTGTTGTTACGTTGGCTAACTTTTAAAATGAAGAAGAAAACAAATCTGTCACCTTCAATGGTTTAGTTTAGTATCGTTTCGGTTCGGCTAGTTTGCAAATGGCCGATGTGACGTTTGGAAGTGTTTGTTTGTGGACATGATCGTTTGGATTTTTGTGGTGACTTCGTGACATGTAAAGCTATCATATTAGTAATTACTTTATTTTCAAATCAATACTTGGGATACACAGTGCTTCTTGACTTGACAATTGCTATTGCCGCAGTGTCAATCTCAATCAAGAGTTTAAACGTCATAGTTAATAGGACCAAGTTAACCTACGATAAGTTACTGTCCCCTTTCCTGTTACATTGTTTTTATTTTGTTGTCAGGTTAAGACTATTCATGCTATAAGCTTTTTATCCTTGGATAAGAATTGGTATCTTATTTTGTAACTGAAACGGACGCCAGCAACAGGTTTACTAGTTGATTGAGGTTAAGAGATAAGTGATATGGGACTGAAACATCTGGTTTTATTTGTCTGATTTAATGTTAAGCTGTATAATAATATCGTCTGTTCTGAGAGTACAAAATAACAAACAGGTCAAAGACAGTGAAGGCCTCATCAACTTCAGTAAGATTAAATCATCTAGCTAGCCTATGTAGGCCAATGACAAGTCATGTAATTTCTAGAATTATTTATTGATATATCTAATTCCATTCCGATTGCTAACGATACAAAGTTTAAACTAAACATGGCTGCTGTTAGCTATGGTCGTTCTGGTGTCTTGGAGACACTAGTTCGAGGTCAATGGTATAGAGTATACGTTTCTTTGGAGGAAGATTATCTAAGCATAAGCTTAGACGAAAGCTACGAAAACTCAACAGCTTTAAATGGAACTCTTAATAACAATAACAACAATAACAACAACACAATGGAGTCCTACGGAGGGTTAATGGATGGCGCCGATGTTCCTGAATCAGTTGCTAACCAAAAACGAATAGTGAGGGTTGTGAAATCTGATAATAATGGACTTGGTATCTCTATTAAAGGCGGAAAGGAAAACAAAATGCCCATTCTCATCTCAAAAATCTTTAAAGGAATGGCTGCAGATCAGACTGAACAATTGTATGTTGGCGATGCCATTTTGTCGGTCAATGGTGAAGATTTACGTGAAGCTACCCATGATGAAGCAGTCAAAGCACTAAAGCGAGCAGGAAAAGTTGTAGAACTTGAAGGTAAGACCCATAAGATAATTTTTAGTACCGGTAGCCTATAACTTCGGTATGGTACAATGGATTTAGGCCTATGCTACCGGTACCATTGTTTTTTTCATTCAATTTTTCCAAGTTGCCTTTTAAAGATGCAGATAAGTTATGCCTAGCTCACTTTAGCATACAAGCTTTATACAGTTTTAGCTTAGCCTAAATATTAAAAAGCAAAGAACCTTATTAGCCTTTAACTTAAGTTACAGGCTAAACCTGCACGGTACAATGAATCTTGTCAGATTTTTATCAATTTAGATTTTTTTAAAGGGTGCCATGGACTTACACAGAATTCTGTGTCCCATATTCAATGGCCTAGTAAACTCTGTAGACCTACAGTAGATTCCATATCGTTCAGACAGCTTGGTAGTGGAGATCCATGAAATAAGCGTAGGACCTTTTAACAAATGTATTAGGTATCGTTTGTGCAAAACTACCTACCTAGCAAACTTAGTGCTAACTTGAGTAGGCCTACCTAAGTTGCTACCTATATTGAAAGGAATAAATGTAAGTTAGTAATACACATTTTGTAGCCTACATGTTTAACTTATGTTATTTGTATTAGGGCTTACCTTTTTTTATTATGGTCCATTCACTTACAAGGGTCAGTCATATACTGTTGACCGAACCGTTTAAACCATTCAAAAATCAAACCAAAAACAAGGAGTTGTCTAGGTCTACTGTAGGCCTATACCGTACATTATTTTGTTAATAAGAACTTAGAGGTCCTTTGCATGAATGTAAGCATGCCACACTGCATGAATTTATGCTGTCCGACTTTGCATGTTGTTATTAGGTTACATAGCACTGTGTTTAGTGAGGGATTAACTCATTAAGCTTATTAGCCTACTGTATAGGCCTAATCAATTTAACTTATACTTGATATTATTAGGTAACGGTAGGACTAACAACTTTTAAAACTAACCTAGGTGTATCAAAAAATCTAAGTACGGTAACTTATATTAGTACTGTAGGGTACAGCATGTAACTTAATCAAAACAAGCCCTAAGAATACCGTTATGACTAGGCCTATCCCTAGAATGGGTAAAATCATAGAATTTGAATTATAACTTATCTTGAACTGAATCATACATTTTTCTCAGTGTTACTCAAACAAAATAAGCTTTATTCAGATTCACTGGTCAGTGTGCCCACCTAGGTTTCTGAACCATATGGTATCGGGATAGCTATGTACGGTATAAAATTGATTTTGGTTTTCTTGACAGCCATTCCGACCATTAGAGTTTTTCTAGAGACTAATATTGCACACTTTACATGTTTACATTTTTATTTCAAACCAACATTTTGGTATATCGACAGACAGACATTTAAACTTAAAGAAGAACTAACTATCAACACGTTTCCAAACCACTTATCCTGTACAATCTAACATTAGATGGCTGAAGAATCGATTCCCAAACATGAGTTCAAATCTTAATATATAATTCTGATAATAATAGTTCTGATCAAAAATATGTGCGTAGGACATTGATCAAAATTTTCTTAACAACTTAAAACGTAAAAAATTCAGTGACGGTTTGCAGAAAGTAAACCATCTGTCCGTTAAACTAAATAATATTGCATTGAAACCAGCTTAAAATGTTAGCAATAGCTGCTAGACTTTAAAAAAAATTAAAATTTGATTTATGAAAAACAGAAACCCAAAATTAAAGTTTTAGCAACATTCCCTTCCTCTCAAAATGATCTTTCTTCAACAGAAGAATCATGAAAATCCAGTAGTTGATTCCAGAATCTACGAATGAAAAAACCCTCCCACGTGTTAATAAAATAAAAGAAAAAAAATGAAGAGAACCACTAATTTGTATCTCTAAATTTAATAGGAGTAAAAGAATGAAAAAAATCGTGCTATAAGTGGTTCATATGAGAGATGAGGCGGTGATTTTCTTATTTAAAAGTGAAGTTTGTTGGGAATCAAGAGAAATAAAACAAAATATTTTTAAATACATACATACATACATGATACATGATCTCTCCGTCCGTAGTCCTTTGCCTTAAGGAATTGGACAGGTCAGGGTTAATACAAAGAATAACCAGCTTAATACTAATTTTTGTCACCGTCTAGGTAACTGTCTACTTAACTCTACTAGATATTTTTTTAATTCTGATTTGAATTTTGTTAAGCTCTGAATTTCAAGTAATTTTTTCGGTAGGGCCTGGTACAATTTCATTCCCATGTAATCTGGTTTGTGTTCCAATTTTGTGAGTTTATGTTGGACTGCATGTGTGCCCTTTGTTCGTGTGTTGTAAGTGTGATTTGTAAAAGTTGGTTTAATGTTCTGTGATTTTATATAGCAAACTGATTCATAGATATAAAGTGAAGGGACTGTGAGAAAGCCAAGTTCTTTATAAACATTTTTGCAGCTGGTCCGAGGCGGCATGCCCAAGATTGCTCTTACTGCCATATTCTGCCAAACAAAGATCTGGTCAATATTCTTCTTAACAGCTCCCCATAGAATGATTGAATACAAAATGTGCTGTTCTATTAGGCCAAAATACACAAGTTTAGAGAGAGCCAGGTTTCCGAAGGTTCTTATTCTTCGAAGTACAAAGACCCCTCGAGCCATAGACCCCTCCAGTTTTTTTATTTGTGCATCCCAGCTCAATTTATCGTCCAATCTCACCCCTCAATGTTTAATAAAAATTGAATATTTTGCTGTCGATATTTGTGCGAAAAATTACACAAATTAGGATTTCTTGAATGGTAAATAAGCTACAGTTTAGTTTGTTTTTTCACCTTAGGACATGAATAGAAAAGAAACAGTGTACCGGTAACAAAAAAAAAATGTAGCTTCTTAATTTACATTTTTTCATTAGCCTAGGAGTTTATATTGATACAAAAACGGATACTTTGTATGACACTCAAAGTTCAGCTTAAGGATCACTTTTGCCCACATTATAATAGTATTTTAATGTTTTCTTGGCTACATATCCACTCCACTAACACACATTAATACAATAGCAAAATAATATTAATAACTAGCTTATACCTGCGGCTTTGGCTGCAATGGTAGGCCTAACCATCATAGGTACAGTATAAGAAATCAGTATTACAATCTAAATCAAAACAGGTGACACGACTGGATACTTAAAAATTTCCTAATTTTCATGTACTAAATCTTTTTTTTATTCTATGTCTTTAGTTCTGTTACGGTTTTGCAAATAATTATCCGTAGGCTGATGGCTTTGCCAATGATCGCAAAATTAAGTTATTATCATTATTTTATTGCATAGGCCTAGATTAAAAATAATGTAACAATTAAAAGTTTTACAGCAATTCAATTACAATTAAAAACTAAATGAAAACATCTAACACAACACAATATATTATCTTCGACTAAAACATCCTACAAAAAAAAAATCTTGAAACTGAAAATGCCGCGACAAATTTCTCCTTGGTATTGGTAGTTCTTTCATATCGGCTCTTCTAATACAAGCAAAGAAAATTTTCCAGCCGAACAACATCCCAGGCTCATCTTTCCATTTTAATGCTTTGCAGTGTATACACTCTCTGCACATTCAATATATTTTTAGTAATTTGTGTTGTCTATAGTTTAGTGTTGCCTCGTATTCCATTGCACATTTTCAAACACATACCAAGTATTTCTGTTGAATGCTTGGCGCCAATTATTATTTAAGGTACTTTATGTTTGAAACAACTCTTTACCGATGAAAAATATATATATTTGAGAGGCTTACCGAATTCAAACTACTAAATCAGATGTAGGGTAAGCCTTTTTTTACCTTTTCTGTTGATGAAACATATACATTGGAGTACAAATTACAACTTTATTTGATAGTCTTAACTTCCTAACAATTAAAAACAATTTTTATGCGTTTTTATTATGCCTACACTTAACTTAGTTTTTTTATATATTTTTTCTTAAGTAGGCTACCCCATTCTCTTAATACCCCAGCTTCCCCTATAAGAAAGACGAGAGACTAAAAATCACACCAGTGGATACTAACTAATCTTTTCTAAGTTATTGGACACCTTAATGATTTTTACTATAAAGAGTTTTACAATATTATTCTGTGGATGATCCTAGCGGTGCCTATATCAGCTGTCTGCTGTCTATTACTTTGATATTAGTTACAGTTTTAAACTTTCCCACCTGATAACTGTTGGTAGCACCTCAGTCATACAACGACTTGCTGCTTGTCAATTCATTACTTTCTTTTTATAGAGCATTGATTTTTTATCTTGAAAAAATTTATTGTTTGAATGCATATTAAATTTTTCTGCCGCACCACCAGTGAATTTTTATTCGTCTGATCAGATTTTAACTCAAATATTTTCATAGGATAAAATAAATAAATTTGCCAAATATGTTCAAAATGGTATCCAAAGAAGCAAACTGCAACAATTCAGTTTACAGAAAAACATCAATAGTTTAGACGATAGACAATATTCCTTATTAACATATTCGTTGAGAATGTTAGAGCGTCATATTTACAGGTTGGTTACAGCTAAAAATTTCATATTTTAAGGTCTTGAGATGAATTCTTTTTTGGTGTAGAAGGCTCTTTCTAGCAGCCAGTCTGTGAGTTTTTTTCTTGAAAGTGGATGAATTATTCTGTTTAAGTTGTTGTGGAAGGGGTTAAAGTATTACGGTTTATAGTTATAGTTTATAGTTTGATGGTTGGCCTTAAACATCGATGTTCAACAAAACATTTATCCCTCAAAAACATCAGTAACCTACCATTGCTGTAAAAAACTTCAAACATAATTAGAAAAACATTGATGTTTCGAAAACATAAGTTATCAATGCTCATCCTTACTCTGTTGGGCAGGTCATAGCTCTTTTGGCTGTGCCCAAAGTACTTGTTAGTATCATTGGTAAAAATTGAGTTTTCTCATTTTTGACCCTCAAAACATAAGATTTCCTCTTCTTCCAATTTCTCTTTACACCTTTTTAAAGAGCTTAAAGAAACAAATGATGTAGTATATTGAA